ACAATGGGAGATTAATAATCTAATTTAGGTTTCCTTCACTCCCCTTTGAGGAAAAATGTCAACTCAAACCTAATGCACAGATGGAGAAAGAAGTAATTGTCATATGGAGCTGACACACATACCTACAACCCAGGCTCAGTGCTGGAATTTTGCTGTGTTCCAGACCCCCCCAGTTGATTTATGACAGATTTCCTGTCCCTGTGTTGGCAAAAGGATTCATAACAGCTTTCAGAAGTTTGAGTGGTTATTTGGGTGTTTGTACCATCTTTTGTCATTCCTACATAAAATTATTCAGTAATCATTAACAGGGGTTCAAGTGTCACATCACCAAATTACTGACTGCAGATTCTTAGTGAGAAAAAAGAGGAATATTTTGGGCCAGGTAGTTGCATAAATGACAGGGTTTGGTGGGAATTATGAATATAATGATACTTCGGTTATTACAGTGACAAAAGGGGATTTTGAACATCTAGATCCATTCTACAGATCTCTTTTTAATTACAGGAGCTGACTTAGAATTGCTGTGCAGATGCAGATGTCCCTTACCTGCAAAATGAAGGTTTTAATTATTTGCTGCTTCCATCACTGTTTGCTCCCAGAGATTTTGTACTGGTTTGATATGACCACAGCAGAGCACACTTCCCTCAGGTCTGCCCAAAAGGAATGGGCTAAAAGCTGCTGCAAAGATCAATATCGTTGGTGAAAGTCAAAATACTCAGTCAGCACCATTGATAAGTGCCACTCCTTAGTTAGCCACAGCTCTCTGTGTGTCTGTGGTAAGCTGAGCAGCTCCTTCAGCCTAAATTTCTGCTCTTTAAAGTGTAAACATTGCATCTTCATCTCACCATGGTGCTGAGAAGATGTGTTAGCTCGTGCGACTCTTCAGATCCCTGAAGAAGCTGAAACACTGAATGTTACCACCCGTGTGGGCACAGGCTGTGCAATTGTGAGAACCTCCAGGGAACATCCTCATCTCCCAAGAAATAGGGTTTCATTAAAACAGGGGGGGTTTGTCCCATGCAAGAGAGAACTTTACCGACATCAACAACCATGGGTCTGATCACATCTCACATTTGGGTGACTGCAGGCACGGTGTGCTCCAAACCCAACGTGAGTTTACACAAGCAGTGAGCACACAGAACACTTCCATGACTATTTTCAGCCTTATGTAATTTTTAGAAGAAACAGCAAAGCACAGCATAACTCTAATCTTACCAACATGGTTATCATCTGCAATAAAAATGTCACCTCAGGTATTAGCAGTGTTGCTAAATCACTGGCCTGACTTGAAGCCTTCCATCTGGAGTTATAAGTTAAGGACAGTTTATCACAGGAGTGATTTATTGTGTAAACAGATCTTGCTGCTGGCATTTAGGAGAACGTGGCTGCCTGCCACTCAGCCAAATTCTTTTATCACACTTGACTGAAGTTCCCAGCCTTGAATTATTAGTTAATAATATCCGAGCGAAAGTATAATTTATTGTTTGAGTAAACTTTGAAACATAAAAACAGTGTCTTAGCTCCCAGACTTAGTGCTTGCCTTAGGCAAAGCATTTTTCTTTCAGCACAAAATTGTAATAGAACAGGAGTAAGATTTGTAACTAATTCCAGCACTTCCTGCATGTATAACTTAGCTAATGGCAGAGCACAATCTCCTGAGCTGCTCTTCCCTCATTTCTGAATTGTAAGACCAACAGCCTTCATGAGCAGAGGTTAATCACACACAGCCAGACACGTCCAAACCTCAGAATTTAAAAGTAACACATATGTGGTTTCCTGACAGGGAAATTTGATACCATCCCTTTTTTGTCATTTCATCTGTTTTATCAGCAGGGCTGAGGAAACCCACGAGTTTCCCCTTCAGAGGCACTTGTGGCTAATTTAGAGCAGGAAGTTATTTCATTGAAAGGAATAACCTTGTCTGACAACAATTCCTTAGCATTTAGGGCATTATTTACAGCAGTGTCATGATACCAACAGCCAGCAGATGCCAGCACACACACGAGCACCAAAAGTGCCTCTTTCATGCTAGAGGAGGGATGGTGCATGTGAGAAATGAAGCCAAATCCTCAAAATTTTAAGAGTTTAATGAGGGCTAATAAGGAACAGATCAATAAAGCAAAAGTAACAATTCTGGGTGCGTAGCAACAGCCAGAGGCACCCACAATTCTTTAGCAGTCCTTGATACTGTTGAATTGCTTTACTTCCCCAAATGACTGCACATTTTTGGAGCCCATTTACCACAGCTCTGCCTCAGGTTGCCACAGCATTGCAGAAGTCCACAGCTACAGTCTGGGAGGGTCCAGCAGGGAGGCAGTCCAGGGTGGTCTTCTGATGCCACTTCAGACTTGGTTTTCTGCTTTTACGGCATTTTGTTCTCTGACTGGGCTGTCTTGGTTGTACTTATGTCTTGTGAAGGCTGACCTGGAACAGGGGCTGGACAGAGCTAAAGAATAAAGTAGGGATTTATTAAAAGGTTCTTCTCCATGGATCCACCTTGAGCAGCACCAGAGCCCAGCCAGGGCTGCACCCAAATTACCCAAAATGGCCCCAAAATGCACGAGCGCTCCCGGGGGCTCTCCCTGGGATCAGTTCTGCTCCATTGGCACCTTGGAGTTCATTGCCCATTCCAGCTTTAGCCCAGGCAGTCCCACCCTGCTTGTTTTTCTCTCTCCAGCCCACGGTGTTTGTGCTCCTGGGCTGAGGTTTGGATCATTTGTCCTTGGTACCCAGCTGGAGCAGGAATTGTTTTGTCTCCCTGCTCTGTGAAGAGAGCTCACCATCCCCTAAAATGAAGCTCAGAACTACACACTAAGGCAGAACAGAATGTGAAAAAATATAAATGCTAAAACCTGAGGTTTACATATGGTCCTTTTTTCTGAAATTGTCATTGCTCCTGCCAAAAGCCTTTGCAGCACCATAGTCACAGCCTTCTGACATTAACTGAGTGATGGAGATCACTTCTCACAGATCTCTTCCAGAGCAGAAAACATTTGTCCCAAAGTGTTCAAAAAAATCATCAGGCAAGTCCACACTGCCAATGGAGATGGAGCAGAGGGAGTTTCTGGGCTCTAACTCTCCTTCCTCAGAGTATCTGCAAGGTTCACAGGTGTCTACATAATCCTCCAGAAATACACTTTCTAAAGAAGGGAAGAAACAATGCACAAAGTCAGCACAAAAGCTGACTTTGAAAGAAAATCAGCACAAAAGCTCCTACTGCCCTTTTGAAAATTAAAGGAAATTGTGGCATGCAAATTAGGCAGGAATTTTTACAGAGAAGAACATGAGTCTTTGGCAAGAAGAGTTCTACAGAAAGACTCAGCTGCATAAGTTCCAGAGTCTGAACTTTCCCCAAGGTATAAATGGGGCAGGAAAGGGCATTTGAGCTGTCCTGGACCAGAGAGATGGCAAGTGACCTTTACTGGTAGGGCAGTCAGACCAAGTAGGGCAAAGGACAGGACTATAAACATGCAAGGTCAGACAGGGCAAGGCAAGAGGAATTTGAATTTCCCTGACAGCACAGAAGTACAAGAGCAGCTGACAAAACTTTAACCCTGCTCGGGCACAGAAAGCATTTTAGCCTCACTTCTCCAACCTGAAGGACAATTCAGTCAATGAAAAAAGGTATTTTCAACAAAGTCTTGAATGTTTTCCCATCAAATATATCCCCTGCTTTCAACTGCAGTGCTTCTGAGATGTGGGCTCAGAGCAGCTGGAGCCAGGGCAGCTGTCCAGCTTTGCAAGCCCTTTCTCCTGTGCTTACAAAACTGACACAGGAGGAGTTCAATGCTCATTCCTTACCCCAGCCAGTGTTCTGGCCACTGGCTGTATGAAGCAATCCAGGTGTCTTTGTTGGGCTGTCTCGTAACCAGTGAAACAGGCATTCTGCAAGACAGCCACACTATCTCAGGTGTGACCAGTATAAAGCCACCTTCTGACATTTCTTTCACTTACAAAGAACTCAAATTATCTTTCCCTCTGTTACTTCTTTTGTGTTGCCTTCTCCAGTTACTCAAACAAGTAACATTATTATTTTCTAATTGAATGATATTGCATTATTCTTCCCACTGTTTTTAACACCTATTATCCCTAATTCTCGGGATAGCACTCAAGAATTACTCGAGTAATTACTTTGGTATAAAAAAGGACATTTTCATCAAGAACCAGGCAGTTTCCTCAGCAATCACTTGTTTCCCAGCCTCCACAGGTGTTGGAGGAGCACTGTGTGTAATATCCAGCTCAGCCTGCACAAAGAGACAGGGCTGGTGAGAATTAGGAACTGAACAAAGTGTGAAGGATGACACCTCTGCAGATTGTTCTGTTTCCCACTCTCATTTCCTCCCTGGCTGCACACACCAGGATGTGTGTGTAGCAGAGCGACAGGAGATGCTGTGTCTCCTCCCTTGTCAGACCCACCAGGAGGATGAGGCACCTGGAAAGGTCCTGCTGATTCGGAGAAGGGGTAGGAATGTCTGGCACCAGTGGCATTTTCCAGCCCATGCAGAGCACAGCTCCCCAGTTTTCGATTTTGCCGACTCCGTTCCGGACTCCGGCCAGAATCTGGTCTGGATTTTTCCTTTTGCCGAGTCCATTCTGGACTCCGGCTATAATCCCATCCAGGTTTTCCCTTTTGCCGACTCCATTCCGGACTCTGCCCAAAATCTAGTCCGGGTTTCCCTTTTTTCCGACTCCATTCCGGACTCTGCCCAAAATCTGGTCTGAGCTTTCCCTTTTGCCGAGTTCCACTCCGGACCCCGGCTGAAATCCGGGTTTTGGCTTTTGCCAGCTCCGGTCCGGTCCAGGATTCCCGGCACCCTTGATGGAATTGCCCGAAGATGAAGGAAAATTCCTTTTCTTTCCTTTTCAGGCTTCCCTTGGCCTGCAGGAGCCGGGATGTGCCACGCCACCCCCTCCACCCACCAGCACAATACTGGAATTCTCTCCAAGAAAATTCAGTGGTGCCATGTTGAGAAAAAAAATACAACTCGGCAACAAACAGGGCAGTGCCTCACTTTTATTGTAGCAAATATACGGGACCTTTGAATGACAAGATCACTTTCCCAAGGAATTACTAGCAAAAATATCCACAAAAAGTTCAAATAAATAAGAATACATTAATACCAACATCAAAAGCTGGTCTGCAAATCCTCAGTTAATCAAGTTCAGTCCTTTCCAGTGTGGTCTGTTTATTTTTCAGATGAAAAACCACTAATGCAATGGGAGCAACAAAGGCTCAATACCTTTAAAATAAGACAAAAAATAGTGCATTCTAGGCAATTTCACACTGTAGAAATTTTATGTATCAGCTCCAAAAAAGCACATACTGGCTGAAAAAAAATGTCAAAATTCTCTCAGAACTCTAACAAGATCCTTTAAACAGTAAATACAATGTCAAAGTTACCTCAAACAACAACGAATGAAACACAAAAAGGACTCTAACAGTGACAGGATGAGGGCAGATCTGAGTCTGGAGTCAAATGGAATCAGCACAACTCTCCCTGCAGCAATATCCTGCTTTATCCAACTGAAAATGAGGTGGGAAAATCACTGCCCTCAGTATGAGATGCAAGCAATGGAGAAAAAAAAGGAACATGGCAAGAGAAAAACAATATTGCTTCAAATTTCCTCATGTGATGCATTAAGAATACATTAGCATTACTAAGGAAAACACTTTATACATATTGGAGTGAAATTCTGTTTCTTCACATCTTCTAACAGGGTCATTTCACTGGAAATAACTGAATTGTTCAAAGTTTATACTCATGCAACTGAAGCAGAGTCTGGATGTTTATTTGAAATACAACCTGAGCAGATTTGTTCTGTAGGTAATACTGCAGAACATTAAACCTTTACATTCTCTAGCAAAAAAAATAAATCACTCTGTTGAAATATCTCACATCACAGTAATCTGTTCTTCAAGAAGCATCACCAGTGCTAGGCTTAGATCCACATGATCATATTGCTAAACCTTGTAAAAAAAAAATGGCTAATAAACACATAAAATGGTGCTGTGGAAGTATCTTAAGTAACTAATTTTAAACTGAATGTGAGGGAATAAATTTTTTCTCTGTTCAGAAGTGCTTCTAAGGACAATATTCAGTAATACAAAATTAAGGAAATATAAACCATAGTCCTCTCCACAAAAGGAGCTCTTTTCTTCTGTGGGCCCAAAACATGGTGAAGTTAAAATGGAAACAGGATAAAACCCAGCCCTTGCAGGTCTGCTCAGGCCAAGAGCTCTTTGCTGAGGCAAACACAGAATTGCTGTTTCTGTGAATGAACAAAGACAAGCGTGCCAGAAGTATCAAATCAATGACAGAAATTAGACTGGTGTGATTATCACATGGGACAAACCTACGTGGAGCCCAGTGATGAACAAGTTTTCAGACTTCTGCTTCCCTTTTTAGTCTCCAATGACAGACTGGTGTCCATAAGATGACAAAAACTACATTAAAACTTTCCTACCTCTATGACAATAGACTTTTCCCAGTGCCAATCACCTTTGCTCTGGTCCCAGCTGGTTGAAATGGGGTTTATTTATTCTTAGAGAAGTGATCGTGCAACATGTGCCTGTATCTACCTGCCCTCCTTACAACCCAAGAAAGCTTCAATTTAGAAAATTTAGCATCCAGCAATATTCAGTGGTATAACATGCTAAATTATTTACTGCATCTAACAGCATTTTTTTAAAACTATTATTCTGATTATTGCCTGGATCCTGCTCACCTCAGGTTTTGTGCTTGTAACAGTGAACTAGAACAGTGCATTAAAATCCTGATTATTGGCAAAGCAGCTCTCTTATTTTTCACTACTGTTCGTGTGAATCAGGAAAACTTGGCTAAGGCAGGCTTGCAGAATTTGGCCAGAGCTGAAATACTAGCACTGGGTTCGGGAACCTTTCATCTAAAGAAGCTGAAATACAAGAGGCTGGACCAAAACAAAAGGGTGAAACAGCAACACTGGGATGTGCTGGTCCTCTGCAGCTGCTGGTGTTCAGTCCCATCCTGAGTTCCTCCACTCCTCTGACACAGCCACCTTCTCTGGTCTTTGAGCATCTCAGATTAAGTTTCACTTGAATTGCATAGAGCAGACTGTACATGCAACTACAATTCATATTAAGTGTAACTTTACAAATACTGATTCTGGACATGTAATACTGTCTATTACATTCATTTCCTTTACCAATTCAAAATTTCACATTTGGTCTCCAGTAGACTTGGAAAAAAAAACCACTAAAAATATTTCTTATACTATTCCTGAGCAACGTTTTTTATGTACTGTAAAATACTCTATTACTACATTTCTTAATAGTCTCACTTTTCAAACTACATATAAATTCATGCTTTGAAATTGTACAAAGCTGAAGATCTGGTAGGCACAATGAAAGATAGAAACAGCTAAGCATCTTAAAACCAAGATGAGCTCACCAAGAGAAGTGCAATTTAGCTATATACATAATGTACTCTTTAGTATTTGCTACTTTTTCATTTTCTATCACCATGTGAAGGATCCTCTTGCAGAATCTGGCCCATGAGACCTCAGCTCACTTCTCATGAAGATTGGGACTGGTGGCTGAGGAGGAAAATACACTGACCAGGACTCCAAAGGGAAAGTAAAAAACATTCTTTAGCATTTCACCTTATCAAGATCCTGTCCCCAGCTGCTGTGACTGATTTGAAATTGTAATTCATCAAGTGACACTTGAATATTCTCAGAACTGTCCTTTGTACTCTCCTGTAGCTCACAGACACAAGAGAAGACAGAAGGCCCAAGGACAGGACCCAATCCTGGCTGTACAATTTCTTTCTGCAGGACATTTCCCCATCTCACCTCCCTAAACCTTAAGAAGCCAAGCTAGACTGGACCACAGGATAAATAAGAGTCATCTCAGGTGACTAAAAATAGGTATCTTCCATATCAAAATATATCTTTACTTGAACTTACAACCCTTTAAATTGTTCCCTTAAGAGTCTGGTTTTTGTGTTTTGAGAGGCCACCAGTTCTGAAAACTAGGCCATACAGTCTCTGCTAAAAGCCTTAGTTTGCATCACTCAAATATATCCATGTGCAATTTGAAATCTGGTCATTTCCCCTAAATGACAAAAAGCATCAAGGCCTACAAAATGAACTTCCAGGAAAGCTGCCTGTAAACACTATTATCAACAAAACACAGTGAAGATTCCAGGGTATAAAAATACACATTCAATTTTCTTAATCTGTCATTATTGAAGCTGTCTAGTCCCTAACACTTTGTCTAAAAAAAAATTCTTTCTGCATTAAAATATTTCAAAACATTTTCTCCATTCTTCTTCTTCTCAAAAAAATAATACCCATTTCCTCCAAAAAATCCAATTCATCATCTTCTGTGAAGAATTAGAGTTGACTTTGCATAGATAACATGCTCCATTATTTTATAAAAACACCAAAATCAAACCTGTCTTACAAAAAGCACATCTGGGCAAGGAGAAAGAGCATGGACCCTATTCTCTCACACCCAGCACGGTAAGTACAAGGAACACTCAGCTAGTGCAGACAGGGTTTTCTATATTTCTCTAAACTTCACGCTGTGCTACTGTTATCTTCATTGAGCAATTATAAATATTTTTGAGGAAAGACCAATGGAAGACATTTGCCTCCAGAGAAAACATTTCCTGCTGGCTTAAGATGAAATTTATAGAAATGAGCAGTGCTGACTGAAAACCAGGAACATTTTTCTCAGGATCTTCCTATGAAGAAAAAAAAAAATTATTCTGCACTGGCCAGATGCTTTCTAGCAGGCAAGAAGCATCAACATTCACTAATGAATTTTCCCTCACTAAAATTTGCGTGGCGTTTGCTTTGTGCCGTTTGTTTTTATTTTCCTGTCCGCTGTTGGTTTTTTAGGAGGAACGTAACTGCTGGCATTGCCATTTTTCTTTGGATTTGTACACATGTATGTTTTTAAGCCTTTGATGGGAGCAGCTGCACCGTGGAACGCTGGGGTTTGTTTAGGGGGTCTGATGTTACCAACACTTTGGATTTTAGAGCTGCTCTCGGAGGGCTGCAGACTGAGAAGCTGCTGCTTTGCAGCTGGTTTCTTTTTCAGTTCACTTCTTACATCACCAGTTTGCCTCTGAGAAGATGCTGCACATCCCATTCTCTCAGGAACTTTCAGGTGACCCGGATGGGAATGCACCTGGCGAGCCTGCTCAGGGCACAGCTCTGCCCTGTGACCCACACAGCTCCTGGGCAGCCTGGTTACACCGTCCTGGGGCACTGCCTGCCTGCTGGGCACAGGGCTGAGCAAGGCTTTGCCTTTTCCGGGGCTCTTGAGGGCACGGCTGGGGCCGGGGGCAGTCTGGGGCCGGGCTTTGGTGGCCTTGCCCCTCTCGCTCTGCACCGTCTGCAGCTGCAGCCACTCCAGCTGCAGCAGGCGCTCCATGAACTTCTCCAGGGATCCCGTGGGCTTGGGGCGGAAATCGCTTTTCCCTTCCACGTGGACAAAGGTGGCCAGCTGCTTCAAGTCCCAAGAATTGAAAGGGGGTGGGAGGAAGTCAGGGTAGTAATATTCAGACTCTTTAAATCCCATTTCAGGGATGTGCTCCAAACAAAGTGGGTCGATTTCTTCAGCTCTGAGGATGAGTTCTGGTGGAGTGCAGGGAGAGGGGGGAATGGGAATCCTTTCTGAGTCAGAGAGGTCACTGGCACTATCATCTTCAGCATCTTCTTTAATAATTTGTACCGATTCAAAATCAAGAAACATTTGACCTACAGATGCTTCTTGCCATTTTGAAGAGCCTGGACTGGCTTCAGCCATGTATTCTTCATGATTCCTCCCCAACTGTTCTTTTTTACTGCAATAAAAATGCTGCACTGGGACATCCTTAGCCCTACAGAAGTTTTCTTGTGTGCTGCCCTTCGTGCCAGCGGGGATCCTGTGCAGGAAGGATTCGTTTTGCCTTCTTTCTGGGGGACTCCTGTGCAGGAAGGATTCGGTTTGCCTTCTTTCTGGGGGACTCCTGTGCAGGAAGGATTCGTTTTGCCTTCTTTCTGGGGGACTCCTGTGCAGGAAGGATTCATTTTGCCTTCTTTCTGGGGGACTCCTGTGCAGGAAGGATTCAGTTTGCCTTCTTTCTGGGGGACTCCTGTGCAGCAAGGATTCATTTTGCCTTCTTTCTGGGGGACTCCTGTGCAGCAAGGATTCATTTTGCCTTCTTTCTGGGGGACTCCTGTGCAGGAAGGATTCGTTTTGCCTTCTTTCTGGGGGACTCCTGTGCAGGAAGGATTCGTTTTGCCTTCTTTCTGGGGGACTCCTCTTTGGTCCTTGTGCACTGTGCAGTGAGCTGCAAACACTCGGGATCCTAAAGGAAAAGGAAGTTCATGTACTGTTAGAATGGTCAGTGCCTTTGAACAGCAGCTTACAAAGGTCTTGCCACCCCTTCAAGGATGGGGATCTCCATGACTGAAGCTAAAACTGGCATGGAAACTTGGTTATGGGCAAAATCAATAACTGCTGGTAGAGGTAAGACTGCCTACTACTGATTTGTTGTTGGTTTTTTGGGTTTTTTTAATGGTTTATCCTGAGAACTCACTAAAGCAGGATAGCAAGTTTCCATTTTGATAACTTAAATTTGTTGTTCTCCTAATGCTGAACTCTGAGCCAGTGAAGTCAAAAGCAAAACACAGCGGCTACAGTTTCATCACAAGCATTTTGTCAACCAGTTTGAAGTGACTACAAATTAAGCAGATAATCTTAACATTAAATTACCTTTTTGACTGATTATTGCCATCCAGCTGGTTCCTTCCCTTCTTATAAACATTTGGTTGGTAACCATCTTGAGTATCATGGGAAATCTGAGGGGATATGAAAGTTTGTGAAGTTATTAAGAAGCTGACTTATAGTAGGTACCCTTTCTGTGTTAGAAAAGGGGATTATTTACCTTTTCAATGGCACTTGATACATTTTTGCCTAATCTTCCAGGAGGTGATTTCACATAAGAAATTGGTTTATATAGTCCTTTGGTGCTTGGATGGCTTTTTCCATTACTGTAACCACAAAGGATTAAACAAAATATCAGATATAAATAGCAGAATATATGGGTGTCAGAATGGAAGTACAATAAAAACTTAAAGAGTACAATTGAGTTGAAAAAAGGGCAGATTGTAGTCATTCTTAAAGTTCATTAGGACTATGCCACTTTTTACTTTTTATACTACAAATGCACTGCTGTATTTTTAAAACCATTAATGCAAAAGTGAATAATTCTATCAGATGATATAATAATAGAATGTAGCCCTTATATAGAATCCTCTGTCAGAGGATCCTAAAGCTTCTTCGGACATAATAAATATTACAGATATTTAACTACTGATTTTTATAGTACCTGGTAGGTGCTCCAATTGCAATTTAGCAAAATTAATTATAAAGTACAATATGAAGGTCACATATGAAGCCAAATCTTGCTTGTCTTTCCCATTTGCATATTCTCAACGAAACTTAAAGGATTATTCCTTTGAAGATAAGTGAACAGGGAGCATAAGGTCTCTTCTGGTATTAATACAAACTATTCCACAATGAAGGCATAAAAAAATCCCTATTTCACAATATAACAGGGTTGTGAAAATATTATTAAGAGAAAAAGCTCATATGAAAGGAAAAGGAATGGCACTGCTGATCTGGGCAGCTTAGAACTAAAACTTAATTAAACCAGCTACATTTGTGTGTAAGCACACAGAATAAATAAATCAGCATATTCTGCAGAATAAGAACAGTGTTTGCTCTACAGAAAAAAAAATATTACTGATTTCCAAATTGAAAGCTTTAAAATACTATTTCAGAACAGGAATATTCAAACTGTGCCTTCCTGTCTAATCTAGCATTACTGCAGTTCAGTTTATTTGCCAGTCTGTACATCTTGTTCTCAGTTTCTATGTCAGTATAGTCAGATTTTGATTTTAACAACACATGATTTCACAAATTCAAGAGCTTATAAAAGAATGAAACTAAGTCCTGTTCCTCCAGCATTGCTGCAGTCACCTCTGTGACCTTGTGACCTGCACGATCATCCTGCACAATCATTTCTGTCGCTGGGATCAGGGGAGAGGAAGGCAGTGGGAACAAGACAACCAGGCACTTATTAACAAAGCCCAGTGTGTTGACATTCCAGTAACTATAAAAAGCTAAATTAATTTCCTTACTTTACCATTCCTTTGTAGTTTTCATTGGTGTGGTTGTGGCTTTCCTTCTGCTGTGTCTCTCTGTGCAGTAATAAGGGATATTCCTGAATGCCTGGTCCCATTATTCCTCTTTCCTAAGGGAATCTGCACTTCTACTGTTACATAATCTTCAAACAGCTCCAGTCTTTTGGCTTTGCAAGACACGATATATCCAATGCAGACATCCCCACGTCCTGGAGATGCTGGTGACAAACAAAATCCTCCCGATGTGATTCTATTTTTAAAGCAGGAAGATAAACATAATCAGCTACCAAACTGCACTGGAAAACAGTCCCCTCCCCCAGCACTCGCTTAGCGGGAAGCAGCATCTTCAATTTACTATTCCCAATATAAGGAAATACCTGAGGGTACGGTGTGCTCGCAGAGCTCCCGAGCAGTGTCAGGCGCTCATCCCCATCCGCAGCTCAGCCTGCGCACATCCCGGCGCTGCCCGGGGCTGGGCTCACAGCCCAGCGGGGCGGCTGTTCCTGCTCCCAGTTTATGGAGAGCAGAGCATCACCCCCTGCGAGCTGAGCTGTCCTTTTTCTGTCGCAAAATGCGCTCTTCCCATATGCATATATGCAAATCTTGCATCCAATACGTAATGTTTTTTCTTTTTCCATAACAAATGTCTCATCAGCTCCTACTAAAAATACTCAGAGCAGGATCCGTTTTTTGCTTTTATTTCAGGGGAAATGCATTCCCGTACCAGGGAACCGCACGGTTCCAAGGGTTCACAATGGCCTGTAAATGTGACAGGTGACAAACAGCTCTCCTGACCCACCTTTACTTCTATTGCAGTGCTGTTTATGCATTTACAGTCATATTACACTTGATCCCGTCCTATCCCTCATACGCCTCCCCGCATCCTGTCGCGGCCGCGCTCAGCGGAGCCCCGGAGCGCCGCAGTCGCGCATCCGGACGGGGCAGGACAGCGCCCGGGATGGTGGCAGCTGTATCCTCAGCTACGGCAGGCAGTGCCCGCGGGGATGGCAGCAGTGCCCGCGGTGGATGGCAGCAGTGCCCGCGGTGGATGGCAGCAGCGCCAGGCTGTGCCCGCAGCGATGGCAGCCGTGCCCGCAGCGCCCGCCGAGCCGGGCCGGGCCCGCTCCGCTCCCTCCCGCCGCTATCCCCGCGCTCCGCCAGGGCCGCTCCTTCACTCAGGAGCTGCCCCGCATTCCCCAGCGATCCTCGGCCCCGGCCCGGTACCTGCCCTTGCTCCGGGTCCGTGGCCAGCGGCAGCCGTAGCACCGCCCGAGCGCAGAGCGTGGGGGCCGGGCCGGGCCGGGCCGGGCGGGGCTGGGGAAGGGCCCCGCGCTTGCGCCGCGGGCGCGGAGCGGAGCGGCCGCGGTCTCGGCCGGGCCCCGGGGCTGCTCCTGCGCTCGGGCTGCAGCGGGGGCCGCGCCGCCCATGGGCGCTGTGGCGGCCCCGAACGCGGATCCGTCCCCCGCCAGCCACGACACCGAGCCTGGCGCCGCGGCCGACAGCCCTCGCCCGCCTTCCAGCCTCTGCAGCAGCCCCGGCTCCCTCCCGCCCGACAGCCTCCAAGCCTTCCCCGGCCTGGACTCGCCCAGCATCCAGTGTGACAGCCTGGAGTGTCCCCCCTGCTCGTGCTGCTGCTGCCGCCGGGGCGCGGGCTCGGCCGCAGCCAGCGAGGACAGCCTGCAGGCCCCTCTGGCCCGGGGCTGCGGCACACGGTGCCTCGGCGCGCACCGCGCCTCCAGCGACTTCTCCGACAGCCTGGAGTCCTTCATCCAGCACGACAGCCTCCAGTCGCTCTCCAGCCTGGCTGTGAGCTCCTCCAGTATCAGCGGTGATAGCCTTGAATCGCTTTCCAGCCTGAGCCTGGGGGCCCCCAGCCAGCACAGCGATCTCGAGTTCATCGGGCAGTGAGTCTGCCTTCAGCTTCCCGCACAGCGCCTTACTTACTGCTCGCGCTCTGCCAGCTGCCGTGGGACCTGCCACGCTTCTGCCTTTCCTTCGAAGGTGACATTGCTCCAGGTGATCCTTGCTGCATCCAGTGCAGTAACCTCAGACCTTAGTGTGGCTGCCATTCCCAAATCAAGTGCTTCAGAGGGTCAGTGTTCATTGTTACCTGCAGTGTTAACACTGATTTTCTATCACCAGTTAAGAATGGAAGTGCGTGGTCCTCAGAGGAATCCCAGCTACCTCTCAGATCTCTATGAGAACATGTTAAGGGCTGAAGGAGCAGTGGCACGAAGGCTGCAGCAGCCCCCAGCAGTCCATACAAGTAGCAGCAAGACTTTTTGGAGCAGTGCCCCAGCCAAGGAGAGCCCCCAGCTAAATAATCATGCGAGCAGGACTTCCTCCAGCTGTGACCCAGCCCTGCGGCCCATCATGCGTCGCCGAGCGAGGTCCCTGCCGACATCACTCGAGAGGAGGAAGAGAGAAGCACTGCAGTGTCAGGCCGGCTGCCAGGGCCGCATGAACCGGGTCAGGTTTGCTGATGCTTTAGGCTTGGAGCTCACTGAAGTAAAAGTCTTCCAAACTGAGGAGGATCCATCCATCCCTTTGCATGTCCTTTCCAGGCTCTCCATAAACTCAGACCTCTGGTACAACAGCTTGAACTTGGAGTTTACTATGCAATGCTTGGTCCCTGACTTCCAGCAGCCTGCAGACTGTCCAGATTTCTCATCCCGACTCCAGGAGCAGCAGGTGTGTCTGGAACGGGTGACCAGCTCTTATCTGGGGCTCAGTGGCACCATCCAGGTTCAGAATGTTGCTTTTGAGAAGCAGGTGTCCGTGCGCTACACCTTCAACCAGTGGGAAAGCATCCACGAGGTGCGTGCTCGTTGGAACTGCAGCATCCCAGAGAAAAACAGGCAGGATCAGGTTGATGTGTTCACTTTCTTTCTTCCTGTGCCTCCTTTCCTCCTTCAGCTGAGCACTCTCGTCCAGTTTGCAGCAAGGTACCAAGTCAATGGCCAGGAGTACTGGGATAACAACAGAGGCAAGAACTACACCCTCTGCTGCCGGATTCACCCCCTGAAGCTGCCGAGGGAGTGTGAGGAGAGCTGGATCCACTTCATCTGAACAGAGGCAGTGGTGCTGAGCAGCGTGCCTGTGGTCCCGCTGGCACTCTGTCCCTCGCCATGGCGCTCTGCTCCTGTGGCAACAGTCTTCTTTTTGAAACCTGGCCAGGTGTCCCAAGGCTGGGAGGCGGCCAGTGGCCTGTACAAACTGCACTAAACCTCTGGAAAAGATAAAAGAGCCAGAGTCTGTAGTGAGATACCATCACAGAAAAGCCATGTGGGTTTTTTGAGTGCATGAGTCATTGCAGAATGGTTCCCAGGAATGCTATGAGGCTACCAGAGAGCAAAACATTTCTTGTTGCTAGTGATACTCTTGGTTGCATAGAGTGTTTCTAACTGATCTCTCTTACCATTTTCTACTGTTTGTTTTCTATGTGGACAGTGTGACTTCACTGGTTTTGTTTCTAATTTTGCTTATATTACTTCACCAAGTCAGGGCACTAGTCCATTTATGCGTAATTTGGATGACAGGCATTGTAGGGAGTATTAGTATTTATATACACATGTTATTAAGGCTGTAACCACGTTAAATATTTCCATTAATATCTGAGTTGGAAATTTAATCCTACTAGGAGGAAAACATACATGAAAATGTGCCATCAGAACCTCTGTTTCCCTTGGGAAAAACACAAAAGGTGCCTTTTCCTATCTCCTCCTTGCAGCAGGAGTGATTGTTACCAAACTTTGTGTGTGTAAGGCAGATCTGCCTGGGGAAATTCTCACCTTTGTCAAGTGATGCCCAAGTAGGTTTTTCTCAAGGTGGTGGTACAGGAGTTGTCTTTTTCTGGTGCACCTGCTTTTAGTAAGGGAAATGAGACCAATATTGGACTTGTGGTTGTAAATACAGTTGAAGGTCTCAAAGCATTGTATGAATGCTCATGATTTTAATGCTGTACTGGTAAAATTATAGATCAAGAAATGGATAGGATATAAAAATATATATATAAGGAACAGAAATAGTACAGGGAGCAGGGTACAGAGGTTTGGAATAGCATTCCAGAACCCTGAATCACAGTTGTTCCCCAGTGTTCCAGAAATACTGCAGAAGTAGCTTTGACTTCTTTTTTTAATTGCTTGCCATTGTAAAACAGTTGAACTCCCAAGACTGCAGCCTTGCAACACAAGCAGGAACTTGAAAGCACTTAATTACACAGACTGATAAACAGAATCCCTTCTGCTGCAGGGAGAGCACAGGAACACTGTTAGACCATCTTCCCATGCTTTTTGCTTTATTATTATTGTTCTGTGGTTTTGGTGTGGTTTAGGATTTGCAACAGGCTTAAATTTATGAAGTAAAGGCTTGTCCATAATTGTTCCCATACATAATCATTACTGCATGGAAAGCTTAGCTTTATGTGTTACATAGACTTTTAGAGCTGGTTGGATGGAGCTATTAGAAGAGCTGTGTTTTAGGACTATGCCTAAAAATCAGGCCACTTACTTGGGCATCTTATTTTGGATTGTTGCTTATTTATCGAAATCACAAGTTGTTTGTAAAATCACAGTTGTAAGCAACCCATGGCCCGTTACATATTAGTCTGAAAAGTCCACTGAGTAATTCTGGAAGTGCAGAAACCCCAAGAAAATTTATTTGTCCAGCAACTTAATGCTGCTACTTTGTTGTGACACCCATTTAGCAAAGTTGGGCTTTCAAATGAGGAAACTGCCTCATTCCATTGGTCTTTGACTTTCAGAAGAACCAAAGTCAGGAATGAGGATTCTGTGAGCTGCTGAGCACCTTTTGCAGAGTACTCAGAAAGCTCAGTCCTATCTGAACAAGCACACACATGCACAGAAGTACTTGTGCTGAATAAAAGGCACTACTTTCAAGCATTGTTTCCCCATTTTTCCCTCTCATATTACTGTTGTTTTTCCACCAGTAAACACAGCACGCTATAAAAACCTCTCTCTTACCTGACACCCGTTCACAGTGGGTGTTGCTGGAGCTCAGAGCAATACTTGCTTTCATGCCAGAAGGATGTTGCTGTCTTCTGGGACAGACTGTTATGTGCTAGCAAATGTCAGAGCTGAGTGTTCCCTTGGCCAGGTCAGATTTTGTAAAGCTGAGGCTGTCACAGGAAAGGTTCATGCCAGATGTAGCGCAATGTGAGAGGGGTGAAGAAATGAATATCTCAGCAGTCTCAGTTTGGCTTCTCTTGTCTTCCTTCCACAACCTCTCAGGGTTTTGGCCTGTGCAAGGTCTTGAATACTAAATAGTGAAACATTATTCCAAGTTTCCTTTTGCTCTCTGTGCTGGTGTGCACTGCTGGAGAAGGGCTGACAGTGCAGTTCTGGCACTGCTGGCTCAGTGGAGCAGTGGAGCTGAGAGCCATCTCCGGGTTAAGCTGCTAAACCTTCACACCACTACTGACGCCTGTCCCAGCAGAGCTGATATTTGCACTTAGGTTTTTTTGGCACACTCAGTAATGAACATCAAATGGCTCCTGGTTGACAAAAATGGGATTAAGCCATTTAGTGCTAATATGCACCTGTCATGAAGGTAAATTTACACCACATTTGTATCTTCTCAGGACAACTTGACTATTTGCACTGTGTTCAAATTGAGCGCTTCCTTTATAATGAGAATTTTGTAAAAGTGATTTCTTCACAAGGATTATCACCATATAATGCACTTTTAAAAACATGTATTTGTTATTGTCATACAGTAAATGAATGTCTAGTAGTCCACAGTTTCAAGGTTCTTTCAAGCATGTTTTTTAAAGAAATATGAAATCCATGTAAATAAAAAAGGGTTGTATATTTCACAGTATATCAATGAAGCACAATGAAGCATTTTACAAATGCTGGACAAATGGTCCAGCAGTTTTAAAATTGCAAAGTGCTTAATTAATTTTAAAATGCAATAATAAAAGTTTGGCTATTGTAATACAGAATATTGAAATAAAAGCTTTTCACAATTTTCTGTTGTTTCTGTCAATGGTAGTTGTGTTAAGAAAGCTCATAAAGAAACTTAATGTCAAGTTGTCACTTAAGAGAGTTACATACTCTGGAAAGTAAGGTGGGTTTGAGTTGCTAAACAATGAACCCTACTTGATAAAATTACAGTGATTAGTGTATGTGTCTGCAAAGATCTGGCTGCCACTTCCTACTTAGAATCTGTTGTCCTTTCACCTCAGAATTCTTTGCCTGCAGCACCTGCAGGATTGAGATCCAATTCTGGAAAAAGGCTTGCTGCCACTTGATTCTAATACAACTTAATGGAAGGGAAGAGAAGAGAAGAAGGTTTTCTTTAAATTGCACTTTCCAAATCTGTGCTAAAAACCATTTCTGGGCCTCACAATTATGTTATTATATGTTCTATTTATTTATCTTTCAGTTCTCCTTGCTGCAGCCTTTCCTCCCAAACCAGGTTCTTTCCCCTGACAGGTTTCATGAAAATCTACCTGTGCTATGTTAAGAGTGTCCCTATGCAGTACCTGATTTATCCTCCATGTGAAGTGCATCTCCATTGGGGTCAGTCTTGATAGAGTTGAAGATTGGAATTATCTGTTGCCAGGTTTCTCCTAAAGCAAAATGAAGACCTTTAACTAGCAGACATAATTAATAAAGATATATATTATCAGTTATTTTTAAATCAGTGCTAATTATTGCAAATCAGTTTAAATACATGGGCATGTCTGTATTAAGTTGCTCCAAAATGTAAGATTATTTAATTTTTCCTGTAAACATCCAGCTATCAAGTTTGTCTTACAGGTTGTTGGTGTTACTTTTAATACAGGTGGTATTTTTACATTTAGTTTCAAATTCATAGTTTACTTGTATTTATGTATTTTGTAAAGAAAAAAATTAAATTGCAAATTTAATCACAGTAATATACATGTACAGTCAGTAACTACAGCACTTAGTGTAGGGTATCATCAGTGCTCAGTTGTACTTTACAGCTGGTAAAGACTCAGAACTGCAGCGAGTGATTATTCATTTGGCAACAGAAGTGTAACATTAGCAGTGACCTCTTTCCCAACTTCTCTCTCCCTATGATCTCAGATGTGCAAGTATTTCATTTGACACTTGATATTGAAACTGTTGGTATCAACACTTCTGACCTTTCACACACAACAGCAGCTGTACCGAAGACTGAATATACCTTGGCCAGCACAATGTCTTTAACTGTAATATGGATAAATATTTCTGCTACTGTAGTGAATAAGAGTCCCTGTAAATAGTGCTACCCTAAAGAGTTTTGGTTCCATTTTCTCTGGTGTTTTCACATGTGTCTGAAATGACTGTGGCCAAATAATTTCACTGTTGGTTCTGGTCTGTTTAATGCATAACTCAATGAAACTTCTCTCTGGCTTCCTTCTGCTAAACCAAACAAAACAGACTAATGTTACAGAATGAGAAATCAGCTGAAGTAACCTCAGTGTGAACTGCAGGAAGGAAAGTGTGTGATCCACTTCTGGATTGTCTCACTTCTCTTTTGCTATAGAATGAGTAAGGCTGGACAGGCTCAGCCTCTGTGTTTGCTCATGGTGAGGGAAACTTCGATTTCAAACTGACTTTGTTTCTGCTTCATATGGTGAAAGCATATTTCTGCTTCATATGGTGAAACAATTCAGGATTCCATTTTCATAGAAAACTGCTGATGCTCCAGGTTTCTCAGGCAACGTTTTGTCCTTAGGAGGTTTCTCAGTAAAGCTCTTCTACAAATCTGCTTCAGCACTGCTCACTCCCAGCTCCTCAGTGCAGATATTGCACTTTTCACACCACTTGTCATTTTCTTGCATTACAGTGACATCTTGTGGTATTTAAAATACTTTCTGTGCAGTTTGGTTTTTTTTTTTTTTTTTTCTTTTATAATATTGAGTTTTTATCTTCCACGTTTCAGGGAATCAGCAGTACTATTTTATTTACAACTGCTGCAGGTTTACCTGCTGTAAAAGGTGACTTCTCTCCTAGATTCTCCACTATTGTTGCTTATTCTAGGTATGAACGGAGACACTTCTCAATACTCTTTTGGAGTATGTGAGATTCATGATAAATTTTATCATCTGTATTTGTGATATGGCAATACACACCAGTAGCACACCAGTACAGGTAAAATCCTCCTTTGGCACTGTCGGATTCCATTTAAAACATTATCCAGTACTGCTGGATTCCATTTAAGCACATTATCAGTTCCCTCTGCATAATAAACACCACAGACGTCAGTGGAAGCCCTTTGCCCACAGCAGGTCTGTAACCGAGCGTGTCTTTGCACCTACTCGGGCAGTGAAAGCGTTTCTAAGTTAAGCACAGGAATGGATTACACTGGTTTAGCCAGTCACGCCAGTAATTCCCGCGTGTGCGCGGAAATTGGTTCTAAGCAGCAGCGGCTGCAAAAACAATCCGGAACTGCGCCCAGCGCTGAGGGCGCTCCCGCCGGCCGCGCTGAGGGCCGGCAGGGCCCGCCCCCCGCCGCTCGCCATTGGCCCGCGCCCCGCGCTGCCGAGCGCTGATTGGCCGGCGGGGCCCGCGGGGCGCGGCCCGCGCTGAGGGCGCGCGGCTGAGGGCGGTGAGGCCGCGCTGAGCGGGGCCTGGGCGGCTCCCGGTCGGAAGGGGAATTGGAAATTGGGAATTGGGAATTGCGCGTCCTCCTCAGGGCTGTCTGAGCGGGCCTGACACGGGAGAGCTGTGAGGTGCCAACACGGGCCTCAGAGCTCGTTGTGTTCTTGCGTTGGGAAAAGTAATTAAAAATTATCCTGTGTTTGTTATTTCTGTATTATTTAGTGCAGGGTTAGCTAGGCTATGTTCCCAGTTGATGTTCTACAGATATTATTCCCTATCTTTAATCACCGTTTGTTTTGTCTGTATAATGTCTGGGATTGGGAGACCAAAGCTGCAGGCTGTTCACTGCACATGGTTTGGTTGGTCTAAAATAATTCATACAAGCATGAACAGCTTTGTCACTTTTCTTAAATGTTCCACAAAACAAATATTTTTCCTGGCCTTGAGTATTAATATGCTATTTTCAGAAACCTTTGTTACCCAGATATTGCTTTTAGCTGGTGGCAATCACTTTGGAGCCCATCACTTTATGTATAACCAGGAAGTCTTTTTCCCTGTGTCATTTATCATATTTGTGTTAAATTATTTCATTTACCATTTCATGGCGAGGCCTATGTGCAGTTTTGCTTTGACTCACCTGTCCTGAATAACCTGGTATTGACCTTTTGTGCTCTCCCTGCTGGGAAATCCTGAGGGTCCTCTCAGATCCCTCTGTGCCTCCAGCCATGAACCTGATCATTGCTTCCTCGTCTTTGCTTTAAGCAATTATTTATCCATGCAAGAAAGTTTATATCCCTAGCTGCTTAAATAGCATTTATATAGCATTTCTACACTGACAAACTTTGGAGTTTGTAATGCATTTTGACTGATTCTCAATGTGTTTGCAAAGCCTCTTTAAAGTGTGATAATTGTTCCTTTTAATGCAGCCAAGTTGGTGCATTGCAAAAATGCCGGCTAGGAGTGAGATGCAGGTATGTGCTGATGGAGCAGGATATGAGTATTGATTGTTTTAATTACTAGTATTTAATTGTAAGGAAAGTCTTTAGTGTGGTAGGAAAAAATTTTCTTTTGACATGGCCTAATGCAAAGTAGCTGGGTGGAAAGCAAGAGGAACTAGAAATTGCTAGTGATGAAAATAAATCACATGCATATGGCAAAGGTTAATCAACTGATTATTTAGGTGATACTTAAGATCAAAATGTTGAAATCCAGTTGTAATTGAAAGAAATTTAGAAAGAATAAAGGAGCAAAATGGATAAAGTAACTCAGAAGTGTAAAATACTAAATATATCAAGTAAGGGACATCAATACAACAAACAATTCTGTAGGAATTTAGTTGTAATAGGAGGAAACAAAACCCAGTTAAAGCAAATAATTAAAATCTCAGTGCATAAGTATTTGCAAGATGTATTAGATAGGGTATTAATGTATTAGATAGGGTGCTCTGTACTTAAGGTTCTACACTTAATTCTTTTGTGATTCAGAATATTTGCTTCAAATGCAGCAGGTGATTGTGTAAAACTTAGATCAAATCTGTGTTAATTAGATGTGTTATATCAGTGTTAAGCATACAGTAATATAGTTGCTTTGGTATATTGCTTGCAGCTTGAAAAATTAATTGATGAAGCTACAGTAAAAAAGGATTTCCAATCCTTAGAACAATTTCTGGCCACAGAAGAATGTGAAAATGTCTCTCACAAATGCAGCAGACAGTTTGTCAACAAATTGGACAAGCTTCTGTGTTGGGTAACGTAATAATTGCATCAAAATAATCTTCTTTGGAAGAGGGTGAAAAAGATTTTTTTCATTGATACCAGCAGTTGATTTAAGAACCCAAAGTAAATTTTGTGAATGAAATCTCCCCTTCAAGCTGGAGTTAAGGTGGCTTTTGAGAACAAAAAAGGCCTCTGTTTAATTAAATACTGGTTTTTGTGGGACTTCACACTAAAGTTTACGTTGTAATTTTGATTTCAGGCATTTGACAAACAAGAAGTCAAAAGCATTTCTACTTTACTAAATGCTGTTCAGAAATGTGGGAGAAAAATGACCATAGCAGGAGAAGATGGGCTCCAAGCAATGATAAAACACGGTCTTGTTGGAAGGATAAGTAAAACCATAAACCATCTGTGAACTTCTCAATAAATATATAAACATGAATAAAGTGCAAAAGCAATGCTTCAGTGCTGAGCAGCTCAATGTTTGATTTGGTCCTTGATTGAGTCAGAATTAAGAAATTCCCTTAACTTTGCAACAAAGATGGTTCACATTTAAATGCTTTTTGTCATGTGACCCCTTATAAAGGGATGCTGCTCTCAGTGAGGGTTTTGCAAATCATGCAGTATGTAATTAATTTAGATATGCCTACAGCAATTGAAACAAGATTATATATTTTCATGTGCTTTGTTATATTGCTTTTGACTCAAGAATTAGAATTTCCTGGTGCCATTTAGTATTTTATTTGTTAATTCCCACAGCAGTGATTTTGTACCTGATCTTTCAACAGACTTTTAGTGCTAATCTGATTTTTTTGTATTATTTTACCCTGCATGTTAGATACATTAATCATTTCTAACTCAGCAAAAACTGAACAGCAGACACCACTTCCTTTCTGCTTCCACCAGAGATTTCACTGGAGAAAATTAATGGCAATATCAGATGAGAGTTACTCAGTTGCCTTCTCAATTGCTTAATAATAAAAAAATAACCAATAAACAATATAATAATAAAAAACCTGCAAATAAGAGACTACTGTACCCATTAAAACTAATGTAATTTATTGAAATTGAGGTTGTTTTAGTAAGATAAATGCCATTTCAAGTCATGTAGAACTCCTTGTCTCTTCTTGTTTTGCAGTTACTTAAGCCTATTGCTTAAGTAATAGCAGTGGTATGAAATCTATTACAAGGACCCAAAATAATAAACAAAATTTAATAACAAAAAAAACCCAGGGTGATAACTTTATGCTTGTATTAACACCACCAAACAACACACTTCCATTCAGCCATTATCAATTTTCAGCTTCTTTGTCTGTGGTGGCGGGTGTTAAAGTAGATCTCCAGTTTTTGTGTTAAAAACTCCTTGAAATCACCTAATATTTTTTGGCCTGAGTGAAGAATTTCAGTCTGGGGCTAACATCTGCTCAGCAGAGTGGGGATGCTGTTGTTATGTAAATCATTGTAGAGTTTGTATTGTTTTACTGAAATATAATAGAAACCATTGTCTTGTTCCAGGCTATTAAAATAGATTTACCTTTGTTTTCCCTTTACATGGTCAATTGGTTTGAAAAGTTAAAAGCAATTTTGGTCCTCAGAGGAAATGAAAAGAATGAAATGGTTACAAATCTGGCTGAAGATTTCTTCATCATGTTGCTGGTAAAAATACATTGATAATAAAATTTGTCAAAGTAATTGTTACTAGTTAGCAATAAAAGAATCTTAAATTCTTTTTAAGATATCTGTTTCTGTTTAATATCTTAATCAAGTTAACATTACAATGACTTCTGAAATAGATTAAAAATCATATGGGTTAAACACTTTGCTGTACTCATAGTAATTTTTGTTCATGGCTGGCATCATGAAATAAAGTTAAAAAAAACAGTAATAGTAAATGCTGAATGAACAAAAAAAAACTTCCATCTTGATCAAATTTTGATTACACCCATTATTGGGATGCTAATGCAGTTTATAAGATCTGTGAGTTTTCTTCTCTTCATAAAAATTGTTGTCATCAGTGAAATAATTTCCGTAAATTTAACTGAAATAGAATTTTGGAAAAACGCATTTGTCAGTAGGGATCATCTCTTAGATTCTTTGCTAAGGACAAAACAATTTCAAAATCTTAAATGCTTTTTGATTACTTCCTTTGAGTCCATGTTATATAAATTTTTTATGCTGTAATATTTTCTTTATCAAAATTATTTGTTTTGGGTTTTTTATTGCAGATTCTATGTGATAGCAGACCTGAAGGTGAGCTTAAAAAGCAGAAATGAGAGTTTAAAATGTGTCTTTCAGAACACACAAAGGACCACTTTTCTCATTCCTGTGGCATTAGTTTTAGTTTGGAGTTTATGGACAGATATCCTTTTAAATTGCTGTTGTCAGTAATAAAAAAGCACAATAAATCTCAGAGATGGCAAATGAACCGAATTATTCCTTAAAGAAGTTGCTTCTAAGGTCCTGTCACAGCTCAACACACCCAGTGATCCTTCCTTATTGACCTTGTCCTTGTGATTGTCACCCTGCCCGTACCTTTCAGTGTGGCACTGGGGAGGAAGTCCCTACAGACTGTTTGGTATCATGATCAAAGAGAAAGATTCATTTCCTTGTCCTTGGGGAGATAAATTCCACCACTTGAGCTGTATCTCAGAGAACTGATTTATAGGATTGACCAATTACATGTAAAAAATTAACAATCTCCTACCCAGGGGAATTACACAGTGATGCACAGGAATAGAAACATGGTTACTGTAAATTGAAGTAACTGTTCTGTTTTACATATCACTAATCTTTTATAAAAAGACAGACACACTGTATTTTATTTCTAAATGAAAATGAAACCTTTCCCAAATGTTTATGAGGAGCACCCTAATACACTCTTGACAACTCTTTGATTTCCTTCTTTCTTGTTTTTTAGGTAAAATGCAAATACTAGAAAACTTTGTTCTGAGAACATGTTCCCTCATTACTGATGCAAGAATTAATATTTATGTTCAGCAGGAGGTAAACATCCTTTTTTCTAAGCAGCTGTTTCCTGGTTAGTGTGTTAACAGACTTAGTGGAGACAGTTTTTTAGTTGTGCAGATGCTACAAAAAAAGAGAATATTGTAGTGCTCTAGGATCAGAAGGACTGTATAATGTTTCTCTGGGAATGTTTGTTTATATGTTGGGGTGTTTCAGATTACTGACCTGTGGTTGTGGGACTTTTTATTCATTTGTTGGGATTTTCTTAAGAGTATATCCAGAACAGTGATATTAAAGTTCTGGTGAGGAAGCTGTATAAAAGCAAAGGAAGAAATGAGCTCTACAAGTGCCAGAAATAGGATTAAGGTTGTTGGTTGTAAATTCTCTAGTCACTTGCACGAAATTGGCATTCCTTCCAAATTCTCCAGATTTCTCCTGTTTGTTTTAGTAACATCAGGTTCTCAGAGGATTTTCCCTCTAAAGAAAGGGAAAGTTACAAAAAAAGTCTTTTGTAAAGGCTACATCCCCAAACGAAAGGCTTTTAATGCTAATTTAAGGTACACTTTAGCTCAGCAATCAACTGCAGACAGAATTCTGGATTTGGAAGATTTTCTGTATTTAAACCTGCAAATAAGAAACAACTGTTGAACAACTACTGTTCCCATTGAAACTGAAATAATTAATTGAAATTGAGGATGTTTTAGTAAGATAAGTACCATTTAAAGTCATGTAGAACTCGTCTTTTCTTGTTTTGCAGTTACTTAAGCCTGTTGCTCTCTTTAGTGGTATGAAATACATTACAAGGGCTTGAAATAAGAATAATTTAAAGTTTAACAAACTCAAAGTTTAACAAACTTACTTTATATTCCCTTTTTCCACTCTTCTTAGGTAATAAAAAAACTGAATTTATTGCTTGACAAGATCCCTCGAGATGGCAGGAAAAAGATACTTTCTACAAAGGAGATGTTATTTGTCATGTAAATTATATTCAGTATAATTTTTATATCATTCTATCATCTGCAGAGTTGGGAGTTGGTTTTTACTAAGCTGTTGTGCAGATTACTCCCTGTTTAACTCAACTTCTGCACTTGCTGTGAATTGTCAGTGGTAGTGGCTGTGGACAGGTATTCTCATGGGTTATTCTCCATTAGAAGCCTGAATTTTCCTCTTTCCCAATCTGAATCAGGCTTCTCCCCATCCCCATTGTCATAAAACAATTAAACTCCTATTTGTAAGGATGTGCTTAAACACAATGAATCCGTCACTGGAAGGTTGGGCTGTTCACACTGGAAATTGTTTTCCAGCACTTCAGAAAAGCAAATAGAATCAAAATGGTATCTGTCAGGTGATTCAGGTCCCCAGGCAGTGCTCTCAGAAGTGTTTGCCCCTTGGAAGTCCTACAGTTCCATGAAATCAGGGGTTTGTCTCATTCATTGAAAGTTTATAATAAAGCTTTCCTCTGGGCCTTGTGTTGCTGTCACATTTTGAAGAAATGTTCCTTTGTTTGACAGGAGTGAAATGGGGAGGACAATTTTGGATGCCGGAGGTGAGCATGGGAGTTAATTTAGTGTTGAGCTTCTTAAAAATTAGTGCAGACCATTAAGGAACCAGAGAAGGCATTTGGAAGCTGCAGAATGTTATGGTTTGGGTTATCTGAAAAAATATAAATACTGCATGAAAAGAGTCTGCAATGTGGAATGTTTCTGTCTGTTCAGTGTATGGAAAACTCATTGAAGTTTTTAGTTTTGTAGAACATAAGGAAAAATTATAAATTTTCACATAGGAAAAATTATAAACAAGCCAATCTTTGAGGCTGTGAGCTGTGACCGTGGGTAATAGTACTGTAACTTCCCTCAGGGGTCACTGTATCCAGCAATTTCCCAGCTCAGAGAGATGAAAGTTGAAAACTTCTCACTTGTTTAAACACCTTGTGTGGCTCTGACAGTCCTGGAAGTTTGTTTGGTTTCATTTGGAAAAAGAACTTGTTTAGTCAATGTTATTCATATACTTCTTTTTCTAAATATCCTTCATGGTTGCATGCTTAGATCTAATGGGATCTAGATTATGTTCAGCACTGCTTACTCCAGTTTCCTGATAATATTTTCCATTTCAGTAGTTATTTAAATCTGCTCCTGCATGAATTATGTTTTTCTGCAGACTATGACACACAAGTGGCCATCACAGAAGCTCTGTGCAGAATGGTGTCAGAGAAGCAGAGGAGAGTTCTGGCCTCCATGTGGTTTCCCATGGAGTTTGTGTCCACTGCATTTAAAGGAATTAAAGATTCGGAGTTTGAGACAGTAAGTCACATGAGGAATATTTCCAGGGAGGGAAACTTCCATTTTACAATTCTCTAAGAAATTTCTGTGTTTTAATAGGATTGCAGAAAATTTCTTAACCAGGTGAATGGCATGCTTGGAGACAAAAGAAGGTAAAACTGATTTTTTTATACTAATCTTTTTTAGGATTTTTTGTTGTGATTAAATTTCATGTTACCCTTGGAGTAAAAATTGTTTTGGTTGCTGGGATCTCTAAGTCTCTAAAGTTTGTGAAAACACAATCAATTTGCTTCGTTCAGATCTGCAAAATTTATTTACAGCATTGTAGAATACTTGAAAAAATATCCTTTTCTTACAGGGTTTTTACATTCCCATGTTTATCAGCAGCTCTTGATGAGTGTGAGGTAAGGTTTTCTGCCTTCTAGTTAAGAAAAAATAGAGATAAAAATAAGAAAATTACTTTTTTCAGAAGTATACAAATAGGAATGGACTGAAAGTTTGTCAGGGGTTCAGACCAACATGAGGCTTCTTAGCTGGTAGTAGTCAGTGCTCTCTGCTCTTACTGTTTTATCTTATTCTTTTTGTTTTAGCTCCAGATACCATTGGATGAAAACCTGGAAGAGTTTTGGATTGATTTCAACGTTGGCAGCAAAAGCATTTCCTTCTATGTAGCAGCAGAGGATGCAGTAAGCTGAGTTTTGTCTCCCACTGGGTTGTCCTGGGGCAGCAAATCCACATTCCTTGGGGTGGGTCAGATTTCCCCACATTCAACAGGTTGAACTTACGTGTTGATGGGGCTAAAAAAAATCCAGCTTTATTGGTATTCAGATCAAATCATTTCACAGTAATGACTTCTAATGCTGTTTGGGAATAGTTTAACACATGCATAGTGAGCAGTAGTGAAGCACAAGTTCCTGTCACTCTGTAAGTGACAGGAGGCAACACAGTGATCTCTGTAACAGAGGTTTAAAAAGTTGGAAATTTGTCCTCACTGAATTACTTTGATCACTGGATTTCTTTAATTTTAATATAATATTTTTCTATCTTTCAAAATGTCTTTTTTATATAAGGATCAGCAGTGGGAAACAGTCGTTATACAAGAAGAAGATGTCAACATGTACAGCCTGGAAGGTATTTGAACTCAAAAATGAGATCTTTTGTTTTATTCTAACTTCGATTTTCAATCTAATTCCAAATTGATTAATCTTAAAGTACTGACTTAATTCTAGCAAAGCAGAATTCTCACTTAAATATTGTAGGAATTGGACAAGGGCAAAATTGCACTGCAGTCACAGCTGCACTTTGGGCATGTCTTAGAGTTTTTTAAATACAAAGTAAGGATAAGACAATGACAGGTAAAAATATTCCTTTTGAACTTGTTAGAACAGTAAATGTGTGTAATTTGTCTGCAGCTATAGTAAGTAACCTTCAAAGCAAATTCTGTGGAATAATATACAGAATAAGCATTTCTAAAATGCCAAATTTTGAATTGTTTTGCTAATAAAATTGTTGTAGATTAGAGGGAATTAAATAAAATATTAATCTTAGTACCTGTAGTGATGAACATGTCATGTGTTGACAAAGAATATATGAGATGCTATTAAATTGAAATGAAGCTGCTTTTCAAATTTTTTTTTCCAGAAAAAGAGTCAAAGAAATTATTAACAATAGATCTAAAAAGCCCAATGAGTGTGGGTACTCGTGAAGGAGAGAAATTTCTTTTATGTTTTGATTCTATCTTGGAAATCAAAGATGTGATCATAAAGATTTATGGATTTCATAAATGTAAGGTAAGATTTAAACACCTTTTTGAATGGTTTTAAATTGATTCAGATTCCATGTCTCATTGCCATTTAAATGTTCCAGCTGTGATTATTGTTCTCTCTCCATACCAAGAGTTTCTCATCAACATCACTGCTACAGAACTGCATCACATTCTAAGCTTTGGGAAAGATGTTTAATAAGGACAAGAGGAAATGGCCTCAAGTTTCACCAGGGGAGGCTTTGGTTGGATTTTAGGAAAATCTTGCCACTGGAAGGGTTGCCAAGCCCTGGTACAGGCTGCCAGAGCAGCAGTGGAGTCCCCAGCACTGAGGTTATTTAAGACACATGAAGATGTGGCATGTGGGGACATGGGTTAGTGGTGGGCTTGGCAGTGCTGGACTCAATCACCTGAAATGGTTCTTTCATTCCAAGACTGAAAATGAACTGCAACAAAAATTACCAAGCTGGAAAGTGAACACCATACCTTAATGTCAAATGTGCATATTTGATTTTCCAGAAACACAACCTGGTTGCTTACAAATGCTTTCAGAAATTATTCATGAGCTGTCTTGTTTTCAGTGTAATTAACACTCATGAATTTACTCATTTAATAAAACATTTTTAGCAAGCCACACCTCACTCCTTTCTGCTTCTAACAAACTGCTTTGTCCTGAAGTCTGACTGAGGAACTCATGAGGGATGAAACTTCTGTGAATCTGTACAATCTCTTTTCCTCTGTAGTCTGATTTCAGACACTTACAATCTCTCACTTAAGTATTTTGTTTCTTGTTTAAAAAAAGAGCCAAGTGTCTATTTTGACATATCCCTTTGCAGGATTTCAGCAAGAAGCAATCTGCATCAGTAGCCAAAACAACTGTCCACATTGTCTTTGATGAAAGTGGGTCACAGGTATTCTACCTCAGTATGCTGAGATGGTTTCTTGGGTTTGTTTAATTAGTCTGATTATTCATAATTTATAAACAGTAAAAACAAAGACTTTCAAATATGAATAAGTATAGATAAGTCTAAATCCAGGCAAGTGGTGTCTAGTATGCATGTATTGGTTTTTGGGGGAGATATTAATATCCAAACCATAGAATAAAACAGAACAAATATGCACAGGGCAAGTTCTTTTATTGTTACTTGAAAACCCATCCTTGTAACAAAAATAGCAATTAAGTTGGAAGTTTTTCAAACTAAAAGTCTTGTAACCACTGAGGTTTATTGGGCTCTCCAGTGGGGGATGTGTTATTTGGGATAAAGAAGTTGCTATGTGTGTTTATATAAAAAGAAAACATGATAGAATCCAAATATTACATACAAATTAAAAGAAATTAAAATCTTCTATAGGTTCTGGTACCGGAAAGTCAGTTGTCACCAGGTTTCAAAGAAAAACCTGGAGAGGAGGAGGAGAAACTCAGTAAATGCAAAACTCAGCAATCTCCTGGAAGTTTGAGGACTCAGAATAAACATAACAGTCAAGAAAAACTCAGAGGTGATTCCTCCAAGGTAAGTAGGACTGTCAAAAAAAGAAAAGGAGTAGGGAGAAAATGCATGTCACTTTGTATATTTGTCAAATTTAATAGTCAAAACCCCTTCTTATTTGACAGTTGGAATATAGTTAGTACTATCATAAGTTTATTTTTCTTATGCTTTGACACTAAGCTAGAAAAATCCCTTCACTAAAAAAATTGTTAGTATTTTAAAGCTACAGTAACAGAAATAAAAAGGAATTTTAATGATCTTAAAACCATGATGCTCTGAGAATTCTTTTTAAAGAGAAGGTTTTGAGGATATGCTCAGATGCCCCAGTATGGAAAAGTCAAGTATGGCCTCAGAGACTGCTGGGGAGGGGCTAAAACCTGAAACAATTACCGTGTATTCATGGTGCAGTAGTAGGTTTTCATAAAGCTGTTTCTCCTTAGTTTGTAGCTTTGCAGAATCTCCAGGGAATCCCTTGGTGAGCAAGGGACAGGATTTGCCCATACTTAACAGAATTAATTTAGAAAACAAAAACCATGAATCTCAGTTTAAATATATTTTGTTGAACTCTAACTGCATAAAAATCACGTTACCTTGATACCTGCAGCAGCAGCAATTGACACTCCAATAATGGAAAGTCTCAAGAGACTCTTGGCAATAAATTTTCTGAATTCTTGTGCTGTCATCCTCAAATCAGTGTATTATGGTCAAGTTCTTTCTGTTCCTTAAGATAACTCCACCCCGTAAAAGGAAAGTGTCTGAAGCATCTGTGCTTGTTTCTGGATCTGCAAGTGTGTCCACAAGGAGTTCACTGATTTTTGCCAGCACATGTAAGTTTGCAAGTGCTTTCACAGTAAAAATACGCTATAAATGGTCTTTGAAACTCAAGCATGAACTGTGATCCTTGGCACAGCTGGAAATGAAAAGGAGAAATGATAAAATCTCCTGAGCAATGCTTAAAACTTGAAATGTTTAAGGGGCACTTGCTCCTGGTCCATAGACAGGGTGTGAGACAGGGTTTGCACTGCCTTCCCAACAGCTGAGGGTCACCTGGCACTTCTGCTGCAGCTCTCAAGCAGCTGCTGGTGCTGGAGCCAGCTGACAACTCAGTAAAAATATATTACAGTGAAGTCTTTAAATAGAAACCAACTCTTTTCTACCAGAGACAGCCTGTAACAAGCTTTGCTTCTGCCTCCATACATCCATAATCAGTGGGCTCTTAACTCCACATAACAGAGTTGGAATAAATGGAATTATTAAAGATCCAGAAGGGGTTGGTATCAAAACTAATCAGCTTTTGTTGGGGTTTATGGAATAGCTGTGATAGTGGGCAAAACTCTTCCTGTTGTAATGGGAGAACTGATGGAATTCTAACACATTTCTGTTCTGTTTCAGCCACTCCTTTTAAAGGGAGAATTAAATTGCCTTTGGAAATGACCAGCTCTACTAAGAGGTCTGACAATGATACAATAAATGAGAGCAGAACAAAGAATTTCTATCAGGAACCTCCTGGAGTATGCATGTCCTCTGTAGCTAAGTCTTTTTCTTAGAATAATATTAATTTCTATTCTAATTTGTCCCTAATACATATTTTGAAGAGCCAGAGTTTTACAGGCAGCAAGTCCCTTTTAGAAAACAGTATGTTTGACTTTATTGCATTATATTTTCTTGCCCTCTGAAATTCAGGTTTAACATGTTTGAAGTCAGACTGAATTCTAACAAAATTAGGCCAAATTTGCATTCACTCATCAGTTCTGACCCCAGAATTAATTTCCTATTTCTGGAATCTCAGTTCTTCCTTTGTGTAAAATAGGAGAAAGGTGCATGCAATAATTTCTAATTGGTTATGCAGTAGTGAAATAGTCAAAAAACACAGAATACATTCAGCTGTGCTTGTGAATGTTCATGTCTTCAGCTTGCAGCATTTAAAGCACTGGGTTTTTTAGTGCATTTTTATCAGGCATTCACTACTGTAAAGCAAAAATATATAAATGTTGTAAATGTCTGCCTTGCTCAGATTCAGGTCAAGCCCCAGACTGTGGGACTCTGAAGCATTTTTTGATACAGCCATGCTTTGGAAAAGGCTTTCATGTACAGAATGTTTTGTTCAGAGCATTTCTTTGGCTTTTATGGGCTGTAAGGGGCAGTGTTACTTACTGCGCTTTTTAGAGTGGGCAGAGATGCACAGCAGACAATGAATTCTGTGAAACAGCAAGTCAGATACCAGGAATGAGGCAAAAATACATGGGAAGGTACTAGAACAGCACTTCCATGAAATGAGAATAAGAAAGTAATGTTTTATTAGATAAAGCACAAGTTTAGGAGGTTGTACTGCTTATGGTCCTGCACTAATATTTTCTTTTGGGTGTCATTCCACTGTAGCAAATACATTCTGAAGAAGTCATAAAAAGTGTACAAGAGGCCACAAAAAAGCAAACTTTAGGCAAGTAATTTTACTAGCATTGGTAGTCCTTACTTTTATAATTATTTTAAGTTTTTCTTTTGCCATAATAATTGACACCAGATTAATGTCTCATTTAGATGAAATGTTTGATATTGTTCCTGATTCTCAGCCAGTTGGGAAAAGCAACAAACCTTTGTAAGTACTGGAAAAGAATTCCCAGTCATTGTTGTCACTCACTTTGAAGGGAGAATTTTCAAGCATTACCAGAATTGATATTTTGTTGCAATGTAAAATGCTTTGATATCTCTAAGATATAATAGTTTATTATAATAGTTTTGTATTTTATTATACACTTTTATTATAAGACTCAAGTTCTGACAGTAGGATGGTGTTGTCTTTGTTAGGCTGCCTGGGCTTTCGGAGACTTCTTTTGATAAAACTGAAACATGGAAAAAAAGAACATTCCCTCTTGCTGAGAAGAATTTAACAACTGGGGACAAGCAAAAGCCAAATCTATCACTGGCACATTCATCCCATCCAGGTGATGGTCACACTTAGTCAACTGTTACTCTCAAAAATCAATTCAGAGAAATTAACTTGCAGTGGTGATTGTTTTTCCCTTTATTACTATTGGTAGTGAAAGAGCTGTGAAACAAAAAGCATTTATTCAGCTTTTTGAAGTACATCTCCAGATAAACAAATGAAAAAAACCAGAACCAAGAAAATTAAATTGATAACATCCTCAGTGGAGAATTAGAGTTTTGATCATTTGGAACAGAAACTGTTACATATAGAAGGAAAAATACTAAACCATGGTTTAAAACATTTCTTTCAGCCAGAGTGTCTGACACAACTTTTCATTCTGACCTTGCACAAGAGGACCCTGATGTTCTCCTCAGAAAAGAGACTGCAAATCCAAAACAGTCAAAGACAGTGAGAATTTCTAACCTTGTTCTTCCACTAGCATTTAAGAGAATTGTCTAATTTTCAGTGTTTCAAAACTGATGGGTTTACTGTCATGCAAGGGAAAGTGGTTTTCAAGTGAATGTAGTTTAATGCATTAGGAGACATTTAATGACGTTTAGGAGGTTCTTAGGAACCTGAAGTTCTGTTTGCAGCTTTGTTCTTCTGTTGAATGTTGAGTCTTAAACTGTTTTTATAGAAACCAAAGTCTAAAGAAATGGCAGATGCAGCCAAATCACTGATCAGTAAAATCAGTGACAGATACAGAGAGAAAAGTGATGAGAAGAGCAAAGCAAGAGATTCCCTGGGCTTTAACAGGTATGATGTGAACTACTTCATTCTGTGCTGAGTTTTTGTGTGCCTCTGGCTGTCTCTGTGATGTACCCATGAATGCTGATAAATGAAAGGGCCTTGGCTCTTTTAATCCATCTTTTAATTGATGTTGTATTTAAATGCATGAATAAATGTACTGGGTTTGATGAGTTGTTTGTTTTTTTTTAATATAGGCAGCATTCTAATGCATATATTCTAATTAGCATTTAACAAAATGTATCTTTATTTTTAGGACACATTTAAATAAATCCTGGATCTCCAAGGTAACACATTAGTGCTTTTGTTGGAATTGTTTTTAATATGTACATACATGGTGGAAGTCAATAGATGTAAAGAGAAAGTTCATAAAACCATTGAATATTAAGTATCTGTAGATGTTAATGTTGATTATGCATTGACTGCAGATATGTTTTGCCATATTGAACTGTTGCTAATCAACCTGATTATCTTCATGATGAAGAAGTTGCTTTTTGAGATGATACTGTCTATGAATGCACAGTCCAAATTTGACAGAGGAGCTAACTTTTCATTTATGGATAGGAAGAAGTTCGGGACAGGACCCTAAAAACTGCTTCTTTTCTTAATATAACATCTGGTCATGTTCTGTAAGTAGTTACAACATTTTCAAACACAGTTTCTGATTACCCACACCTGACTCTGTGAAATGTTCTTTAATTCAGTCACAAAATTGATCTCTGTCTGTTTGACAGGAATGATGTCTACAACTTTAACATCAGCGGGTTTGATGAGCCTACAATCAAGCTTGGAGTAAGAAATAACTGAAGTTTATATGTTTTGAATAGAATAGAAAGGAAATCAGTCAAATGTTGTACTGAAAGTATAATTAAGATCTGAAAATTCAAATTATATCAGTGAACTAAGTGGGGGAGAAAGTTTTCCTTGTAAATACCTCCAGCATTTCAAATATTGAGCAATATACTCTGTCTTAAGATTCTGGGCACTTCAGGCTATGATGATGTTTTTCCTGAATAAAGCATTAAACAGTGTGTTAGGAGTATTATTATTCTAAATTATCCTGAAAACGTTATCGGCATCTTTCTAATCCCCATTTTAAAGAGATCTTTGTCCAGATGTTTGAGCAAAAAGAAAATCTAATGATGATAAAAGATGGTTTTGCTTCTTGTGGCTCATTGAATTGGGAAAGGTTGTGAAGCAGGTGGGTTGGAACTCTTGTATTGCTTTGAGATACTGAAAGCTTCAATTGCTGTTGGTTTTAACTGTCAACTCTATTAAATAAATTCTAAGATAGAATTTAATGACCCTTAATTGCTGAGTGTAATAACTAAGGGAAGAAACCTCCTTAGCAGTTACTGGCTGGTGGCCTGTTTGATTTTTGTACAGATTCTGTAACCATTGAAAACCTTCATTTGTTTCTTCTCTATTTGCATTTTTAGGTCCAAGAATTGTGTGTGACTGAACTGAGTGTTCATACAGAGACAAACAAAAGAGGGTAGGATGTTCTGTTTTGATTGCTGATTATCCTAGTACAGCCTGCCCAGAAGGCAGTCACAATATTCCAGGAAATGTTGCCTGGCAAGAATATCTTGGCCATGTTGATTTTTTAAAGCAATAATCATTGCTGTGTTCTCCTAGGCTGTTCCTTGATGGTCCTTTGGGAAGGTGATAAACAGGAAAGGATGTGTTCCATGAAGGAAACAGGTCTCCTCATGGAATACTACAGGGAGATAAAGTCCTGGATAGAGGGGGAAGGTTTTTGGTTGATGATCCTTCTGGAAAGGGCTGTGTTGTTACTGTGTACTCCTACTTATAATTGGGAAACAAACACAACCTTTAGGGTTTAAGGTGAACAGGTAATCCCAAAATAATGTGGAAACAAAAGTAAGTACCTTTGTTTGAATCCTTAATCCAGATATCATGGGAATAGTAGAAAGCTTTAGAACAACTATTTTAAAATTTATTGTTTAAAGATGGGTTTTATTTCTCTAATTAAGGAACACAACCATCAATAAATCCAGCACAGAAGGGAAGGGAGGAAAAAAGGTAAGGCTCAGATTTTTATGGATCAGAATATCTTGTCCTCCTGCCTTTAAATTTCAGTTATGTAAGCAGGCTATGTATCAAAATTAATTATTAATTAGGAACTTTTTTTGATTTTGTAGACAAGAAACAATCGAGACAAGAAGCATCTGTTTAGTGACTCAGACACAGAAAACAGAGGGGATGACAGCAAGACAGAGATTAGTTGGCTGCAGGAATCCAAGAGGAAACCTAAAGCCCAGATCATTGATTACAGTAGAAGTAAAAAATCAGGGAAACCAATGAGCACAAACAAAAGTAAGAATTTTTCTTCATATTTCTGAAGAATGCTGCAGTAAGTTTGTCCATAGATACAAAGTGCACAGCGTGGCATGTGCTGTATTGCAAATGTAATATATTCTTGTTGTCTTGTTTCCAAGCATAAAGAATTTTCAAGTTAGTTCTAACAATTTACATAAATTCTGTATTTTAATGTGAAAAACTATAGAAATATGGGATGGGTACAATCTGTTGTCAATTTAAAAGATGACCTTTTCTAAATAATTGGCTGAAAGCAGTTACTGAATCAATCCATTTGTGGGCAAGAAAGTGATTCTGTTATTTTACAGCTGAAACTAATGTCAAACATTTGAGTATTTTCCTAATTTTTCAATTTTCTTGTATTGTAGCAGCAAAAAAATCCTTGGAACCTGCTTTCCACATGGAAAAAGCTAAAGGCAAAAATGCAAATAAGAAAAAGGTAAACATAAATTTGTAACTAGAATTTTAATATGGATTAAAATCTCTTCATACCCCACAAAAACTCTTTTAAAATAATTTTTCATAAATATGTGACATTTCTCCCAGATAATTTGTTAAATACAGTTTATTATTTTCAAGTACTGTTTTCTTGTCATGTAATATTTAGATGGTTTTTCAGTCATGAGTGAGTTAGAATGAATTTGTACATTTTGTGCTGTTTTTAGTAGACTGATGGTTGGATTCTCTGAGCTTTGGTAAAGTTAAACCTTTTTAGTTTCAAGGAATTAAACCAAGTTATCTCCATTTTATCTTATGTATGTATTAATCATTGTTGTTAACTGAAGATGATTTTACTCTTCCAAAGACAAACAAATGTAAACCCCAGAATTCAAAAACAGATGAAATGATAGTAAAATCCACCAGAGAAAAACTCCCTCGAAGAGCAGCAGCAACAAAAAATTACAAAGAGCCTTCCAGTTCTGAGTCTGAGAGTGAAGTCAGGATTCCAGCATGCACCTCCAAGGAGGAGAAATCCAAAATACAGGTGTGCAGTTCCAGTTGATTATTAAAAATCCATTCCTGCCATGTTTTTCAAAGTAAACTGTGCTCTGCTTTGTACTTGGTACTCCTGACTTTAAAGTGCCCAACATAAGCAAATTGAAGTTAATTTTATTTTTTTTAATATTGCCCCTTTTTAAATGATGAGTGCTGAGCTGCTAAGAAAATCGGTCCCAAATAATCTTCTTAGTCATAATAGATTTTGTGTTCTATTTATGAGATTTATTCTGCTGCAGAGAACTACTGTGTGCTGTATTTTGAAAATGTCCTTAAAGGGAGGGTTTAGTGAGCCAAATCTTGTTGAGTTGATGTTTTGCTGGTAATGCTGTGTCAATACATTTGCTGAATATCCAAATGGATTTTTAGTAAAGGAACACTGGTTGCTAAAACATTTTCATTGTTTTAGCATAACATGTCGATATATATAAAAAGGTTTATAAACTTCATTCATTAAATCCTGAAACATCAGTGATTGCCTCCAGTAGTTAAGTAATCCATAAGAATAGACATTTATGGGTTGAGTTATAGAAATTAGTGTTTATTGATGTTGGAAAACCTGATCTGCTTCTGGATTTAAGTACTTCTATTGATAGTTGGTATATAGATAATAAATTTCTCTCTTTATCAGCTGTTATGCACACAGTGGTTGCAGAGATGTTTATATAACTTTTGTATTTTAATAGAAATATATGAATGGGCCAAACAAGGATTGCAAGCAGCCAAAGGTACAGCACATTGTACCTGTGGAGCCAAAGAGAGTGGATAGCTATGTGCAGAAAGCACTGGCTGAATCCAGGAACTCTGCAGAGCAGAAGGAACTGGAAATGCCTTCAGCTGAGAGCCCTGCCTCCCTTGAGACAATGAGATGTAGGTGTTTTCACTTTTAATTTCTAGCAGTACTGAAACAAGAGGTAGAGGTTAATTAAGGGTTATCACAGCAGTACAATTTAACATTTATTTCATGCTTTTAAAATGAGGTATCCCATAATTTCAGTTGATGCACATAATTTAAGGAGTTGCATTAGTACGTCACTAATACTTCTGTAGGTTGGTGCAGTTATTTGACATCAGGGTTATACAGAAACACATTATGTCAATGTTAGAACAAATCTGGTACTGCTGAAACAGTGGCAGAGGGAGAAAGGGGAAGTGTGGCAAAATTCCACACATCTGAGACTTGGAAATTCCCAGGGCTGGAGCAGGGAGCAGTGTAGGGCTTTGGCTGCCCTTGTGTAAGTCCCACTGCTGGTGCTGACAGTGCAGGAACTGTTCCCCAGGTTCTGAGGGAGCGTCAGGAGATGCCAGTCCAGAGCCCAGCTCCAGTGAGAGGTCACTTGGTCTACAGGAGTCAGCAGCAGAAGACAGGGAGATGCTGAACTCTGAGAAAGGAACCTCTCCCAGTAATTTCTGTGCAAAAAACAAGAGTATGCAAAGTCTGGGTGTAACTGAGTCCCCTGAGACAGCAGTTACAAAGTTGACATTTGGAAGGAAAAGCTTCTCACCAGTTTTAACTGAAGCATCTTTGGTAAGAGCATTAACCTTTCTCTAAGAGTTGTTTTACCTGAAATTGTTCAATTTGGCTGCCAACTATTTTTTGCTTCTCCTCTCAATAATGTTTGGGGGGTTTTGTTCACGTGCAGCTCAGCTTAACCACATATAAAACTGTCAGTGGCAAAAATTCCAAGGGAGCTGCAGCAGACACCTGTAATAATAATGAAGATTCAAGTTTCCAGCGTTGCTTTTCAGACACATTTTCTGTTAAAGGAAAGCTTCAGGATATCACTAAACCTATCCCCACAAATAAGGAAGAGGTATGTTCCTGAATTCTTTGCTCTTCAGAAGAGATCTGCAGCTCTTGGCTTTATCAGTTTACGGTGGTGAGATTTAGAGGACATCTCCTATCAATAACAATGTTTTTTTTCTTAATGTGTAGCTCAGCCTAACAGCATATAAAGCTGACAGTGGAAAACATGCAAGGGGAGCTGTGCTGGAAACAGGGAATAATGAGGATTCAAGTCCCCAGTCTTGCTTTTCAGACACACTTTGTGCTAAAGGCAAACTCCAGGATCCCACCAAACCTCTCACTAAGAGTAAAGAGGTGAGTTAGTGCATTCCTTGCTCTCCAGAAGAGAGATGCAGCTTGGCATCTCTGTTAGCTCTGTTTCCAGGTGCTGAGGTTTAAGGGAAATGCATCTCAGTATATAACACAGATTTTGGGACCTGCTAATAGTTAATTTTTAAATTAGATAATTGTTTATCATATGGATACAATGAAAGAAGTATATCCCAACAAGATCATATTTAAAAATTAAAAAAAAAAAACAGGATGTAAATATTTTCTTACTGACTTCCAATAAAAAATAAATTATTTTAAACAACATAAATGTGAGTTTCTAATGGACACTTCTCAAAGCAATTTAATTTTGAAGCTAATAAATAAATCAGTGACTTTTTTTTTAGGATTGTATAGCACCATCCCCATTGTCTGTTTCCAGCAGGAGTAGAGTACAGTCCTGGATTAGAGAACCTTATTCCCCCATGAATGAGTCAGGTACAGACATTTAACTTAAAGCAAAAGCTTTCTAAATGTCTCCATATGGGTTAAGAAAAATGCTTTATTTGGCATAATAATAGGCCAAATTTTTTAAATCTTCTTATATTTTATATTTTCAGCATTATTCTATTTTTTTACTCTTTTTCTCATTTTTTCTGTTGTTTTAATTATCAAAAAAAAAAAAATTAAAATCAGGCTCCAAAGTGAAGCTTTAGTAAAGATTTGTGCTCCAGATAAAAAGTTAGAGCTATTCCTACTGATACTGGAGAAAAATGGGGATAATGGTTTTATCAGAAAAAATCCCAGACATGCTCATCAGTCAGAGTTCAGTTGAACTCTGTACATGTAATGGTTATTAATCTCTATATAATTCTCATGTTCTAAAGCCAAGATACATCTTCCTAGAGTTTGCATCCATTGTGTCAATAAAATCTTTATCCTCCCATCTCACTGTTAAAAATAATGCTAAAATTCAGCATTGTTTCCATGTTTATTGAAGGACCAACATTCCTCAAACGAACTTATCACAGTGCAACAGAAGGCAGCTCTGATGAGGCAGAAACAAGCAAAGAGGAGGAAAAGAAAGGAAGGAGAAGAATAACTTTACAGCCCAGAAAATTATTTAAACAAGGTGATGCTGCTACTTGCAGAGGTTGGTCTTGGTCATGGACTAACAGTGCAAAGTTTTAAAATAATGTGACAAATTCAAGTTTTAACAGGGAAATAGAATGTCTGTAAAAAGGTATTTTTCATGTTAAAGCAACGAATAAAAAATACTAAATATTTAGCTACTAGATCTATATAAAATGTCAGAAAATTGATATGCAGATAGAAACTGGTTTCTAATCTAATTGGTGACATTAATTTATATAGAACAAAAGCTGTCCTAGGCCCTGTGCTAACTTCAGACTGGGGACTTTATAGTACTGAATTTGACATTATGTTTTTGTTCTCTTCAGTGTCTGAAAGTGTCTCCACTCAATCTGTAAATGACCTGTCTGGTTTGGAATTCTGGAAGCCTGATTGCTCAACCATCAGCATTTGTCAGCAGCTTCAGAAAGAATTTACCAAGAAAATTGAGGCAAGACCCTTCATGTGCATCACTTGGGGAGTACATGAGCACATGGGGGACAGCTTGACTTGCACCACACCATTACATTTTTTAAAGGGGGTTTGTTGTGATATTAAGCAGTACTGAACATATTACAGGGTTATTTTTTTCCTAAAGTGAAAATAATCTGAATTTCATGTTAAAACAACCTCTTAGAACCGCTCCCGGAAAATGGATAATTTTAATAAGCAAACACTGAGAGCTACCCATCAGCATTTGTCAACAATGAGTTACCAATTCCATGAATTCAGGTCAGTAATGGCAGATTTCTGTTAAAACACCCTTAAAATGCAGTGAATACCTTCTGCAAGTAATCTGGTTTGTTTTGGTAGGATCAGGCAGCTGGAGAAATTTCATTTTACTCTCACTGAGGAGCTTGAGAAATTTGAAAAGGACTCTCAGTCCCTGAAAATCATGGAAAAAGAATTCTCGGTTTGTATTTTAGTTCTTTGATCATGGGTAGAAGGGAATTCTTGTGGAATCTGGAGATCATTCACATCATGTTTAAAATCATTAATGTTGATTTTCAAAGCTTATACCTTTTTGCTTCCAGTTGGGTCAAATTTCAAATAATGCATTTGGGTTGTCAGAATGATCTTAGAATTCCAAGGTCACTCTGTATTTTCCTACATGTATATACAATATGAACTCCTGTGTGTTTTTCCTCCTACAATAAACTCCTGCAAGTGCTTGAATGGGCTGGGTTTTTCCAGCACCTGTGGGGGCTGTGTAACTCCTGCCCCATCTGTGTTGTCTGTGGTTGTCATTTTGTTTATATGAGAAATTAATGACTTTTCGTTTGGAAAATCACTTTCCATTGATTAATATCTCTTTATTATTTTTCTTTCCAGACCTTTTGGAAAAAGCATTCCCACACTTTTAGTACGTACAGGAAAAATGAGCAGCAGAGGTCAGTAGGGTTCACTAATCCTGGGATGAAATTTGTGTTCTGTTCACTTGAGGGAGATCAGTACAACTTCTCTTCTCTCTGCAACTTCTTCCATAAAAGAGAGGTGATTGATGAGAAAATGAGATTAAAATGTTCACATAATTATTCTCCAGCTAAATTTCTCCACATAGCTGAGGGACTGTTCAGCAGTAACAATGATGGGGATATTTATCCTTTATTTATGCTTTAAATGCAAATACACTCCCAACAATGGGATGTATTTGTGCTCTTTGTAGGAAGCTTTTATGTGGCAAAGCTGTTTGAACTGCCTTTATTTCTTTAGAATTCAGAGTCTTAAAACTTCATTTGAAAAGAATATCTACCATTCTGTTGGAAGTGAAGAAAATGTTTTTACTTCAGAGGTATGGTGAACTTCTCTTTTGTTCATTGTAATAATTCCTCAGTTGTACCCACAGATACCAGTAGTGACTTTTTTTCCTGAAGATTTTATCCTCAGCATTGTATTAATCATACATAATATTTTTTTTTTAGTTTTTGCTGTAAAATGTCCCTTAATCTCACAATATCCAGTGTTTGTGCTAGATTTCACCCATTGCAAGGTGTGTGCAGTTATCAGGACTTATTCTGCATTCTGTGACTTTGTTTACTGATGTTACTCATCCAAGAAAGAAAAAATTTAAAACATCCTTTTCCATAGGCAGGTGGCTGCATGTGCTTTTGTATCTCATGCTTATGACATATTTAGGGATATCATTGTTTCCTTGAAAATGTGGTGGCAGTTGTGAGCAGAGGAGATGCATTCAGTGTCTTTTTCTAGATGCATCTGATGAAAGAAGACATAAAAGGACTCCAAGAGAAATTTCTAAAGGAAATGGTAAATAAATTTATCTTGTCCTCCTTTTTATTTTTTGCAGCTTGAACACTAAATTGCTAAAATTTTGATTTCTAGTCCCCTATCAAAAATAAAAGTTAATCAGAATGCAAATGTCACTGACTTGATATATTTAAAACCTTACTTAAATGATGGGAGCCACAGGGTGATGTGAATGGACTTGTTTAGTTCTGTCTTAATGTTGAAAACTATCATCTTTGATAGTGTACGCAGCATGTACAGTGCACCAGGATTGCAATACATGAAATAAAATCTGCCTTTTTTCAAAAGCATGTGATGAAAGGGATAAATGTAAATTTTTTTTGTACAGCAAGAAGAGGAGCTGTGTAACGTTCGCAGGGGATTGCAAACCTTGTTTCAATCAAAGGCAGAATTCTGAAGTGATTTTTCAGATTCCTTCCTGAAATTCAAGGTGAATATAAACACTTTTGTAATGGAAAATTTGGTAACTTTTTCTCTTTTTTTGTTATACTCAAGGACACTACTGTAATGAAAGCATATTTTCTTTAATAATACTAAAATCTGTGTGGATAAGACTTACCCACTCACCTGTGAGATTTGCAAATATTTTTTTGAGTCTGCTAAAATGTAATATTCCATTTTATTTTTAGCACATGCTAGTTTTTAACAAGTCTTTATATAGGTTACTTAATTCACTTTCAGAGAAATCACTTTGAATTTCACTTTGAATCTGTGTTTTGTGTCTGATCCAGAATACAAGACAGGAATTATTTTGGGACCAAACCACCTGGTTTGATCTCAGTCCTCTTAGTCTGTGGTGTTAGACTTCAGCAGGATTTTCTGAGAGAACACTCTCAACACTTGTGTTGGAACTGTGTTGCAAAGAGTTCTATTAAACAAGTCAAGAAAAACAGATGCACTCTGTTGGGTTTTTTTCTCAATGCCATGGTTGTTTTACTTTGAATCAGTAAGAAGTCATATAAAGCTGCTCTGCAAATATTTTGGATAAGAATTTTAAAGCCACAAGGCTGTGTTGTCTCTCTGGAAATAATTATACTGAAATTTCTAGTAAATAATTTGGTCCACTCATCCCATTTACATCCGTGTATGAATGTTTTCTGAGCTTCTGGTTTTGTGTGGTTTGGGTTTTTTTGAACCTGTGCTCGCTGTGATCTCCACTAGATGGACTCCAAGAGATGTTAAACTTTTCTTTCCACTGCTCTGAATTTCATCTGAATGAAGCAGGACTTGTCTCTAAACAATACAAGGTTTTAAAAGTACACTGCAAGGCCCAAATTCTTTGATACAGTGAGGCCATGTGGGAAAAATAATACTCCAGCCTTGTTTTTAGTTATTGACAGGAGTTGTGCACTGCAGGGCTGTTTCCCTTTCCCATTGGGAGTAAGAACAGCCTCCCTGAGCCGAACATGCCCTCTCAGGTGTGATCTCAAATTCCAGCACAATCCATAGCCCAGGGAATGTGCAGACACCTCCACAGCCCCCCCAGCAGCAGGCAGGCAGTGCTGAGTGCCAGGGCTCAGTGGCTCAGGAATTGTCACTGCTTGTGCCTCCCCAAGAGCGGAGCAGAGGCCAGGCTGGCTGAGGAAGGATCAGAGGTGCAGAGGACGGAGCCACTCAGAGCTACCCCAGGCTTCAGGGGCAGTGTTTGGCATTTAAAAACTGATCTAAGTTACCCTCACTATATTTTTATTATGTTTTTCAACATGATTTTAATGTGTTTTGTATCATATTTATTGCCAGTTGAAGAGTGCATCCCTGCTAAACAGGACATACTGTACATGGGTTATTAGCCAAGTTTAATTTGTAGTTAACAGTAGCTCATCTCAAACTGAAAATGCTTCTTCTGCTGAAGAAACTTTTCTCTCTTTTCTGTTTAGCCTTTCTGTATATTGCACCTGGACTATCATTATATTGTTGTTAAGAATTAATCCTATATCATTAATAATAAAATGATAGCTATATATATGTTAAAAGGCTAGTTATGATGTTACATATTTCTGTGAAAAGCCAGCAAGTTAAAAAATTACAATAAAGAGGAAAAAACACATCTTTGGATCAAGTGATGGGGTCATTCAAGTCTTCAGCTGATAGTGAAGTAAGACAAACATTAAAAATGTTGCACTGACACAGACTTTGTGTTGCACTGTGTGTCCTTACCTTCCATTCCTGCCTGACGGTTTCTCCAGGAACAGCTCCAGTTCCTGTGATTCCATCCCCACCTGGGACAGAGCTGACACTCTGTGTGGGGGCTGTTCCCCACCTCACAGCAATTCAGTAGTAGTCTATACAAGCACTTTGACAAGACTGCATTTTATTATTTTCACACTTCATGGAGATCATCTAAATGAAGCTACAGGACCAAGAATGCCTTTTTCAAGTTTTTAACATTGAATGACTCCCTGGAATGGCAGCACTTCAGAGTCTTGCAGAGAAATGTTTGTCTTGTGAGTGGATTCACGATTTTGTTCTGTCTCATCACATGTGATTCCCAGCTATCACTGTGTTATTTTTCTCACAAGTATTTTTTTTAGTAGTATTGAGTAAATCCTCAGGTGCTTCTCCATGTCAGGCGTTATTAAAATGTCTGGCTTTACATTTTTCTCAACCAGTTCCATTTGCTTTGTTATTAGCATTTAGTAAATTTTTTCTTCTTACTGTCAAGAAAGCATTAAAACCATGTGTTTGCTAAACATCAAAGTACATTGTTACATTTCTGCCTCTGGTTGTCCAATTTAGTAATTTGGAATAACAGTGAACCAAATTGTCGTTTTTAGAGGGTCAGAGCCTTGGTGCAGAGTGACAGCCAGCTTATGCTTTTCCACCAGATGGAAAACCTTAGTTGAGATCATCCTTTTGCAGACCCTGTGTTGATGAAGTCAAATGGTTTGGTGCATAATAATTCTAATCTCTTCCCAATTACCCCTGGGAAAAAAACCAAGAAACTTTAGGAAACATGTTCATTTCCTGCAATAAGTAGTCATTTAATTAAAGAACAAAAAGTAACAGGAATCAAAAATGCTTGCAGCTGTGATTCTGTTAGACAGTATATAAAAAAGAATGAAATTATAATACATTAAATTAGTTTTTAGAACATGAACTTAGGTGTTTTACAAACTAATTGTGGTAAGTTCAAAATGTCTTGTCAGCGTAATACTGGATGACAGTGTCACGTCCGTTTATGTCAGAGGCCTTGGAACAGTAAAGCCTGTACATGCACAACATCTCCTTTTCCAAGGCAGCCTGCAAACCAGTTCCACACAGGTGGCAAAGGAGAGGAGGAGGCTCTTCCAAGTAGCTTCACCTCAGTCTTTTTCAGCAGCTTGTCCCACTCCACAGGCCAGACTCTTCTGCCTCCAGAGCTCGGGGCTGGCGTCCTGTCCCCAGGTGCTGCAGAGGCGTCACTGCAGAGTCCTTCTGTCACATCAGCGTCCAGGGAGCCTGCACTGAACCTCAGGGAAAGAAAGGCTTCAGTGTTCCCTGATGTGTGTTCAGCAGCAGTATCAAAAAGTAAAGACAGATTCTTCTCAGAAGAAAATTCCTATGGCCTGTGAAATCTAGGAGAAAAGAGAGACATTTTTCAAACCACATTGCAATAGAATTCAATTATTTTTGATTCAATTGTTTTATGTTAGATTAGCAAAATTTTAAAAGCCCACAAAAGTATTCATTCTGCTTAAGGTACAGTGTCAGTGCTAAAGAATATTAGCACCTCTTAATTTTCCCCTACACATTCCCACCCCTGTGCCACGACTGCAGTGCAGGTACAGTCCTCAGGGCCCAGTGTACATCCTTTACACGTCTTTGGGAATGCAATTGCAAATCCAGGTATGTAGTTGATGTGGGTTTTTTCTTTTAGTAAATGAAGCCACAGTTTCTCATAGGTAGCAATATTCTTCATTGTGCAGTGATGTTCTTTGTTAAGAGTTAAGCAATGCTGAAATGCTTTGTAAAGTATGAGGAGATACTGTTGGTGAAATGTTCAATAGTCTTGTGCGTCTGGAATAAATATTCTTCTTGTGCTGTAGGCTTGTTCTTTTGGCTGAGCTCCAAAATTAAAGCCCCAGTCATATGTAATGCCCTAGCACTAATTGTAAATTGGAAGCCTGTTTACTCCTAATATCCTGAACAAATTTCAGAATCTCTCATTATCATCTACTCCAACTCCCCAGGTAGCTCCAATTAGGGAATGTATAGTTCACTTCCAGACTGAAACTGCAGCCCTCCCTTCTCCCTTCCCATATTTCATTCCACCAGTGCAGCGAAGCTGCTTTGCCCTTGGTGATGCCTTTTTGCAAGTACCAGAGGCTGTGGAATCAGCCTCTCATATTGTTCCTCCTCTAAAAGAAGGGAAAGGAATGTTTTTGTGTGTGTTTAAACACATCCCTGGCACCAGTGCTGGCACACGGAGCAGGCACTGCCCTGACCAGGTTCCCAGTAGCTCCAGCACATGGAGAATGACAACAATCCAGCCCTGCCCTCTCTCCTGACCTCCTCCTGACAGGGAGTTAAGTGTCATTAAGTTACCTGGGGCTCCTTCCAGTAGCAACTGCACTGGCAGGGAATACTGAAATCCCAGGCTGAATCCTTTAGAACAAATCCAATTAGAACTAAGGCATCACTCCTGGGCACTGGCCTGTTATGGTCGGTGCAGTTTTGTATTTCTGAGCAGGGAATTTTCAGTGTTTGTGATAAGGCTGCAGACTCAAGTACATTTAATTCAGAAATCTTTAAGCAGTGTATTAAGTTGTTCTGCTTTAAAAAATCATATTGTTTTCTGCCTTATATACTTTTTTTTTTTTTACTATCCTTGAATCTTTTGTGCAAGGAATGCCAGCTGAGGGATGCTCTGGAGAATGTCTGCAGGTTTCTTGGCATGTGCTAATAAAATCCCCCCAAAAATCAGAAAATTGGGCTCTCTTCAGGAAAAGAAACACTCCAATTTTCTTTTAATATTAACCTCCTTTCGCATATTCTCCCACATCCAACATGTAAGAGTCAAATCCACAGGTTCAGGAGTCAAGCAGAGTTTTTAGCAGGCAGCAGAAATAAACAGCAGGAAAACTGACCTTGTCAAATGTTTGCTCGATGCATGAACCTCCATTTCATTACTTTTGTATTCATTCAGCTCTTTTCGAATTGCTGCCTAGGAATTGAAAAGAGAAAAACACAAACAAATAATTTTGTGTTTGTGAGCAAAATCCCAGACCTGCAGAGCAGAACAGTTTTCTGGGGTAGAAGAACCAAGTATTGGGTATAGCAGAGCACTCTGGTATCCTGGTAGAAATGCTGAATATTTGGGTTGTATGGATTGGTGACACAATACTTCTCATTTGGTATTGATTGCTGACAGGGTCAGTGCTGTCTAGAAGCAATTCTGACAGAATAACACCTCAGAGCTGGCTGTCTCACATTTAATAAGAATCCAGTTAAAATTTATTAAGGATTAGGAGAAGCTGCCAAGAAATTGATCCATTTTTCAGTCACAAATGCAAAGGTGCAGCTCTGACCCTGACTTCCTGATGTGTGCCACCAGTATGTGCAGGGCTGTCACTTCTTAAACCTGCCTTGTTAATTGCCACATGAATGTTGACAGTAAAACCAGGAAAAGGCTAATTGTAATAAAAGTACATACAAGGCAAATATAAAATCCTTATTCTGTTGATTACTATGGAATAGCTTATTCACCATTTTAGAGAGCCTGGGAGAGCAGCTACTGCAGTAGAAGTGCTCTGGTCTTTTTCTATGAGTCCTCTAAACCCATTTGTCCCTTAATGGGGAGACACCTTTTTGGGTGGGTGGGTAGAAGCCTTTCGAGTACTAAATAGGCTTTTTTATGACATTGGTATGATTGCAACATAAAAAGTCTTGGTAAAGTTTACAGAGATTAAATGTTGCAGAGGTTCAGTTCTGTAGAGAATGTGATGTACCATTACAAAGTAAGGAGAAAGCAGAACTTTGTGGTTGTGGCAGTACCTTGTCTGCTGCTGACAGTCGTGTCCATGGTTTGTCTGCTCTCCTGTCGTAGTCCTGTGCTTTTGCCACTTCCACATAATCACTGAATCGAATCAGGATCTTTCTGTCTCTCAGTTCATCAACTGTAGGTCTCTGGTTAAGCTGTATTCAGAAGTTTTGTGAAATAAAAACAGGGTTAATAACAAATGAATCAGTAAAAAAATGCAGTATTTGCTTCTTTTCATCTTGGCTCAGTGTGCATTTACAAATATGAAAACAACCCAACCCTTGGAAACTCCAGGGAAATATTTCACCATTTGGAGAACTGCTAGGAGAGTAATAATGGTTTAAATGGAGCTACAGTGCCTTTATGATGGACAAAAGAAGAAAATATTTTAACCCAGATATTGATAAAATATATTTTCAAAATGTAAAGGAATCATGATGGATTTTTTATGATCTCCAGATGATTCCAGATGCTGTAGGATGTTCTGCTACAGGCAGAGGCAGATTGTCTGTGTGAGATTCTCAACACTAGACCCACTGTAAAAATTTCAGTCTAGCTTGAACAAGTTATCAGCATATTTGGTCTGTAATTCCATTAGGGATTTCTAAGAACAGAACAACAAGATCTTGTTCTTATTCTGAGGATATTTTAAATGCAAAAAGAAATGTACTATGGGAGCAGACCTGGTGTTCAGCAGGGAGTCAGCTCTGCTACAAAGAATGAAAAAGTCCTTTACCAGCAAAGGAGCTGACAAATATGCCATAATACCCATTTTCTGAGTAAGTTTATGTGTAAATATTCTACTAAATCTCATCTAGCTGAGACAAGGTAGTTATGTCTGTAATTGATATTACCAGACACTGCTGAGGAGGATGAATATTAAGGGAGGCTGTGTAATAAACTCCATGGCTTATATTATAATAGGGTGATATATATTATATTATAATATAATATATAAAGTGATATTATAGGAATTTTGCTAAATTTCTAAAAGCTAATAGCAGGTATTGCAAGATTTTACCTTTCTTGTCAGTCTCTGCTTGATTTCCCTCCTCTCTTCCTGTTCCGTTTGATCATTTCGTTCTGCAGAGAATATAAAAAAAAAGATGACTTTCCTCATGAGGAAGTTTGGTGTTTTCCCAAGTTCCAGGCAACAACGAGCCCAGCCCAGCGAGCAGCTGGCAGTTGTGTGTTTTGGTAATTCAGTGCATCTCTGGTGTGTGCTGGAGCACGGAGTCACCTCTCCGCGAGGACACCGTGCTGGTGCCAATGTCAGCTCTGAACTCCACGGGGATTTAATGAAACAACAGCAGCCACACCAACGCTCCACTTGGATAAACTTCAGAAGGAAAATCAAAACACTCCATAGTTGATCAAAAACACTCCATAGCTGATCAATCATCCTTTTTTACTCTCCATATTGCTGTCAGATGCTCAGGAGTCATTGCAGCCCTCCAGGGAGAGCCCATCGTGTCCTCAGTGCTGCTCTCTCAGGCTGCATCACTCGTGGCACTGGCTGGCACCTTGGCTTTCCCTGGCATGAGAGAGACCCTTTCCTCCTGCCAGGGTTCCTGTGCAGAGCTCTGCTCTGAGCTTTGTGTGTTGTGCCTATTAACATTCCAGCCGTGAGAACTCCTACACACTGCCTCTAAAAATAGCACCGAGTGCTGTAACACTGAGAAATAGATCCCCTGCCTTAGGAAACGAGTTAATGGCCTTGCTATTCCCAGTACTATCTGTTACTAAATTAAGGCCTGAGCCCGTGACCTGAACAAAGCTGCAGAGCCAGAGAAAAAGGTTTAACCATTCAGGGAATCTCTGGGTACCACTGTGAGGTTTATTATACCACTTGCATTAGATATTTCCAGTGTTAAAGCACACACGTGATTTCTACTATGCCTCCAAAACCCACTAGCACTGCAGATGGATTTCCAAGATATTTTTAACAATGAAGCATTTTTCTCCCTGATTTTTGCACTCATTAGATGACACTGAGATGCAATCAAGTCTATTT